AAATAGTTTAATATATGTATTAGTTTGCTGATGGACAGTTGTTGTTAATAAGGACTTCTCTGGGATAATTACAGGATTTTCAAACAAACCTCACAGTCTTGTTTTTAGTTGATTTAAACAGCATGGCGCTGCAGAATGTAACTCACTCTAACCAGTGCAAGTTTCATTTTGATATCTGAACCCCCTTTCCCCAGTTGACTGCCTTTTGCTATTACATTTTGCATGATCTCATTACTTTGATTTTATGTATACATCACTGCTTGATAGTATTTTCAATATATTGCATTTGTGTATTTGCATGGTGCCACACATATTTGATTGAATCTGGAGATGTGCACTATATCTTGCTTGAAATGTTGCACTCTTACTAAATTAAAAAACAATTTAGTGTTGCAAGTCCTTATGAAACACAGTATCTACTGGGACTCAGCACATGGACATTAAAGCTGTGTGTGTGTGTGTGTGTGTGTGTGTGTGTGATCGCCTTGTTTTCCAAGGTCACAGAAGCTCTGACAGTAAAATAGGCAACTTATCCTTTTCTTTATACTTTTAAGTAATTTAAGATCTGAAGACTCATATCCAATCCTTAATCATATACAAATGTTCAAACTCTAGCTTACACTTGCTTTTCTTAAGGTCCGACATCCATAAGTGTTTTATCAGTAACTGGTGGTCTGATTCTGACTTGGCATTAAAAAACAACCATAACATCATCCATTAATAATAAACTGTTTTATTGGACACTGATCTTCTATTCTCTGAAGACATGCTGATGTGTGCCATTCAAGTTTAGATTACACACATTATGGTCTGTCAGTCACATTAGTATTAGTGAACATGAACTCCCTTATCAAAAGCAGGATTGTCAAGTTATAAAACCAGAAGCTGTATTTATAAAGCCAGAATAACTTAATTTAAGGAGCTTTTTGTTTTGCTTTCACATCTTGACACATTGTCCCTTTATTGGCTTTAGGACAGTTGAACTTTCACAGATACTAATTGGACCACATTAAACCACTGCAGTTGAGACTAAAATTGAGAAATATATATCTTATAATGATGGTTTCTGCCCATTGTCTGACCTGCATTGTTCATGGCCTTCATTATATTTCATTTAAACTACCTCCTTTAACTTACAGAAAAATATAGTCACATTTTAAACAAAGAGAACACATTTGCAAAATTTCACATTGTATTAATGTGACAACCGCTGGCAACATGGCTGACAGACACTAACGCCGGTAATCATCAGTTGCTTTAGAGTACCAAAGCTATCAATCATTCAATAAATCAGTGCTGCCTTTAGTCTTAACATGGTCTCGTCATACCTCCAACTTTGTCGAGATGTGAACACAAGTGAAATTGAGCTTATAGCTAACATTAGTTACATTTGACAAAGCCTACGAGGTCTTCCAGGAACTTAATATACTCTTGATGCTCGATGGCCGTGCTCAGCTCCATCATTTCATCGGCAAAGGTGTTGTCCACCCCCCGGTCGGCCAGGAAGTCCATCAGGTGGTCATACAGGGCCTGGAGAACACCACAACAATGACGTTGTTTCCAGTTAAAATGATTCATGTTCGCAGATATCACTGGCTTCAATAACGGTGTTGTGTATGAAGTTCTGATTATCTTCCGTTTACTCAAATCTTACCCAGTCCAGAGAGTCTGTGTTGAGTGTATAGCTGGTCTCCTTCCAATCGGAGTCTCCCTCAGGCTGGAAACTGACCTCACGAATGGCAAAGATGTCGCTCTCCTCTTCTCCTTCACCGTGGCTCATCTATGAAAAGCAAATCATTGAGTTACCAAACTGCTGTCAATAGTACACATCTGATATGTTCTTCTCTGTATAAGTCAGTGCAGTATATGCTTACCTCGTCTTCAGGAAAATGGCAGTCAAACACCAGGGAATGTTTTGAAGCCTGTTTTGTCACTTCAACAACAAAGTTCGGTGATGACACAATCTCTGGCTGTAGAGAAACAACAGGATTATAAATCAGTTTAATGTCATTTCTTTTTAATGTTAACAGTCAATTTCTGTTTCAAACACAATTTTACAAGCCAGTGCAGGTACAACTGCTTACATACAGTCTTAAACCATCAGGTTTGTTCTAACTCACCTCTTCTTCTGCTGCTGACTTCTGCTGTCCTTGTTCTGCCTCTTCCTCAAAGTTAGGAGGAATGCTGTTGTTGACATTAAATGTGACAGTGACTCTGAAAAAACAGAAGACAGATCCAGAGCTTGTTAGTGTGCCCAACAGTCAACAAGGATTGGATAACAACCATCAGTGCCAGCCTTACTTCTCTCCAGCAACACTTCTTGTGAGTTTTGCCTCTGTGCCGTTCATCTCCAGTTCCCATCCTCCAGACATCTTGGGAAGGCTTTTATTTTTCTGGATCTTCCTCTCCTCTTTGATTTCATCAGACAGGAATTCACCAAATGCTTTGTCACCTGTTTAAAAAAGTACAACAGGGTGTATTATGTAATTATGACAGAACGTGTGTAGTGGAAATTAAATCTTTCTTGTGCTGCAGAAACTGCAATGCAAGTTTCCTTAACTCTGCTTTAGACTGCTTAATGGACTTTAACTGCATGCAGAAAGCTTTTCAAGCCAACCTTCCCCCTAAAACCTCCAGCTGGCACGCCAACCTCAAGGCTGCATTCCCAGGTTTCTATTGGATGCTCTTGGTTTGATAAGTTTATACCAAGAATGGGGTGCAAGTAACCCTAGTTTTCATCAATCAATCAATCAATCAGCTGACCATTTTCTCAATAAATCAATTAGGTTTTTTGTCCAGAAAATGGTAGAAATGGTGATATATTTTTCCGTAAGCCCAAGGTGACATTCAGCCATAGCGGACTACAGAAACCAGAACATTTGAGAAGCTGAAATATATTTTTTTCTTAAGAAATAACTGAAAAAACTGCTGGCATTTAATGTAATAGTTGACAGCTAGTTGACTTATCGTTGCAGCTCTAAGAGCTTATTTTCTATGTCGGAAGTGTGAGTGCCGAATTCAGTTCCGACAGCAAAAGACACAAATGAGTTGTGTTTAAGGGTTTAAATGTGTTCAGAGAGAAGTGCCATTAACGTGAGGTCCTCTCTGTACAGCATGTGGCTCTGTCGCCATGTAATACCGGCTGATACGAGGGAAGCTAACTTAGCTAGCTCATTTAAAGACTTAAGACATCAAATGTTACCTTCCGTGTGCAGTCCTCCACATCCACACGATACCGAGGGGTTCAACACTTTTGAACTAAACAGTTTTGGCCTGTATCCTGACGAGGTTCCGTTGTTATTCAGCATCCAGAGGGACCGGGTGAAGGGCCGGGTTGTTGCCGAACTAGGAGAACGCAGTGTCGGGCAGCTGAGCGGCAGAGCTCGGGCTGTGGACGAGGCGGCCGAAGAAACGCGAACAGCGGCTCCCACCGCACGGACAACGGACTTTAGCATGACTGTGTAGAAATATTAAGACGTGTAAGGACAGAATAAGTTAGTTGACAGCTCAGAGTGACCGTCTAGCTCCCCGTTACTGCTGCTTCTCCAAGATTACAGAAGAAAACACGTGTGGAAGGACACATTGACCTCTCCCAACTATGACCTCTGCACCGGAAATAATACTTTAAAAGCGAGAAAAATTAAACTAAATAACTGTCTGTATCTAAACAAATCCTAAACATAGCATATAGTAATATAGTATCTGGCACAACCTAATCAAATTAAGTAATATTTATATTTTTCAAAGATAAAAGTAATAATATGGTCACAACCTGTGCGACAGCGCCCCCTGTGGCTCCATACAGAGGAAGGTTATACAGTATCTATCTCTCTGTATCATTGACAGCTCTGTATCCAGACGATTTTGGTCAGCTATAAAGAACTGGATATCACTTAAGATACATTACATTTCGACTCTTGGCCTATTTTCTTTAATATGTACCATTAAAATTCACCTATTTCCAACATTAATATGATCATTCTTATTGTTAAATATTATCTACTGTAGCAAATAGAGGAAGAGCAAGCCCTCCTTCTGGTGTCTTCTTACAATATTTGTTCTTGTCTCTAACAAGACTGTATTCCAGTGAAATAGCACGGTTTGTGGGGACATTTTATGCTTCTTTTTCATGCCTGGAGATGGAGATTTACTGTCTATTTGTTGTTTCTATATGTTTTTCTTTCTGATTCCCCCACTGTTTCATGTTTATTTCATATATGTATTCTCCACAAGTTCCTGTATGTTTGTTACTGTGTGTTTAACAAAATCTCTCTCTTTCTCATCATTCCATGTAAAGTATGTTTTAATGTAATGAGGCGAATCAGTTTCATCATTGACATGAAGCCCTGCTGCCAGAAGATGGAGCTGTTTCCATGAACCCCACTTTCATGTGTTCTTTCTCAAACAATAATTTCTTTAGTCATTTTTTAAAAGAATATTTAATTAGAATCACTGGATGGTTGGCCAGCAGGTTCATGCATTTCTGCATCTTCCAGGTTTTGTTTCAGTTATCCTCTGAGAGCACTGAGCATCACCTGGGGCACGTTACTTTGAGGCAGAGGTCCTCAGACAGTGCACTGGGGCGTGGATGACCTCAGGAAAAATTTAGTAATGAATATGGTTTGTGTTGGGAAAATAAACAAACAAGAGTTTGGTGATGCTATTGTGCTGACCTTTAATTAATTAAAATTCAACCCTTTTTTTTGTAATTTTGGTTCCCCTGTCATTGTTAATGATTGCTAAAGTCTGGGGGGGGGGAAATTTTTTTTTTCTTTTTAAAGGGAAAAGAAAAAGAACCACTGTTGGTTGAATTCATCCATACACTGCCTGTTAATCTGATCTTGCATAGTTTGGAGATGTGTCATGTAACTATATATGACTAAATAATGGCTGTATTGAGGAGTGACTGATGCTTTCCCCTGTACCTCTTTACTCTCAACAAGCAGAGTTGCTCTCTGAGACTTTAACAAATTATATTAAATATACTCTTAATAAACTCATCAAAGACATGCATTTAATCTTATAAACTTCATAACATGCAGCTCTTAATTGGTCTACTTTTCCTCTGTGACTGAAAATAAATCTTATAAAGCACATGGGCAGTTTGATCTGTATGAGATCACTGAACATACAACCTCTCTGTAACACAGTCTGACTGCTCTCTACAGCAACCCCAGATATATTTGGTATTTTTAAAAGTTAGAAACTGGTAAATTTATTTATTCAGGTAACAGTGTATATTTTACAATCCTGAGTCCAGTGTAAAAAAAAAGACAAGAGGGGCATCCATCCTTTTCCTCCACATGGTGATGATTCTACAAAGTATGGAAGACCTGAGTGATCAGATCATTAACTATAAACTCCATGCATTGCATACATTTTTTGTCAGCATACATGTGTGGTTAGTCTGCGTAGAGGCTGGAGAATAAGGCATGCTGTTTCTCCTGATTTGCATGTGTTTGAGGAACTGGTGATACAATCATAGATTGAAAAAAGGCATGCACGAGATAACAGGACGAGTGCTGAGTGTAGACTAATTATCAAAGTGAAATCATGTTACTGTGACGTAAAAACCTCGTACTTTAACCCAACGTTTGCTTGTAATTACATAATCTCATAGATTTAGACAAATGTGCTGTCCTTGCATATATAAAACCCTTTAAGACCACTTTGTATAAACCAAAACCAACACGGTGAGGCTCAAGACAAGACTGCTTTTCTTAGCTTCTGAGAAGCCAACATTACAGAGGTGAACACAATGAGATAAGTGAGTCAACTCCTCACTATTATTCATAATGTGCTGAAAAGAACAACCACTAGCTAGTCTACTATAACTATCTGAGTCTTTTTGGGTGAGTGGCTTAAGAATGAATACGTAGAAGTACAATATTATGTGAAATTAACATATATAGAGTTATGTAGCAATCTATCGAGTCTGATTCGATTTTTAGGAAAGGATGAATAGATAAATCATATCAGCCCAAGACGTTGCTTATCTGAACTCCTGTGAGGTTATCTGTGCTGTTAAAATGCATGCAAATGAATTAATGCATGACACCTTGAAAACACTTTTTTTTAAGTGTTAAACAGATGGCCGAATGGCAAGATGAAATACTATCAGGCAGAGGGAACAGAGTTAATCAAATCTGAATGACAGTCTTAGAGGAAGTCAAAGTTGTGAGGCCTCAATGTGCAGATTTCTGCTGCAGTGACATATGCCAAATGCTTGTCAACTGGGAGGTAGTGAAATCCAGAGAAGTTTACTACAGAAAAAAATTTCTGTTCTGATTCGCACTTGTATGAAATCGATAAGTGTCTTTATCCAAATTCAGCTTTGTGGAGAGAATCCATTTTCCAGTTTTATTGTCACTGGGAGATTCGAGGAAGGTGTCCTTGCAGAGGTTTACTGCAGTCCTGTTTCTCTGTTGGTTAGCTCTTGGTGGGTCGGAGTTTGCGGCCGAAGTACTCTGGCGCTGCATCCAGCAGCCAGTCAGCGTCCACCAAACACAGGTCTCTCATGTAGCAGCGGGAAGTGTGCAGCAGCTCATTGAAGACCACATATGCTGGCTTGGCCTGGAAAAGGACGGAGGAGGGGTGGATGGCCACAGGCTGGTGGGTGTCCAGAGCTAAGTAGCTGCCGTCGGGTTGTAGCTCCGCTGCGTTGACGAACATCCCGTGGGCAAGGCAGCGGCGAACATTCGCCGTGTCTGCCCCACACGACCCCAGCTTCAAATTCAGCTGGTAAATCAAGAAGAGCAGGACATGTTAGCTCGAAACAATTATCCTATTATACTACTATTCCACAACTAGATATCATGATCACCATCTCCTGCAACATAATGACACTGTTGGCTGTTTTCTTATTTAAACGTTTGCAACAAAAAAAAACCTGACAGTACTCATTGTTCTACAGTACCTCTGTGTCTCTGTACCTCGCAAACAGAAACAGTATTTTATTAATGCAATCCGCGCAAAAGATGTACAGACGAGGAAAATAAACATTCAGCAGATTACAGTATATTCCTTTAACTCAGGTAAAGGCTGCACTGTAGCAACAAACACTGCAGGACACTTTTAAAGAGAGAAACTCCAAACAGACAGTGACAAGATCAAAAAAGATCACAGAGAGAGTTTTTTTAGGATATTTATTATTTTGATAGCTACAAATGATGTGAAATAATAACTGTGAATTTTCCTGCTTTAGCAAATAAATACTGCGGATGTACCCAGCTGTACCAATCTTTCATTAATGGTTACAAGGTAAAGGTGACAATGAATTGTGATATTGAGTTCAGGTGATAATGCCCAGCCCCACACAGTATTCATGAGGATTTTCACATGCGTACCTTAAGGCAGATATCTTTGAGTTGCGCCTGGACCTCTTTCACCAGACCCATGTTCCTGCTGTTGACAAAGTTCTCCCGACACCACTCCTTTAACAGTCGACATATACCATATTATAAGGTTGCCCAGCAACATAATTTGATGTGTGAATTTTGCTTAGCCACATACGTTTCCTCCCCCTACTCATTCAGCTTTACTCACCTTGTTACCACTGACTTTCTTGAACGCCCTGTAAATGTTGAGCAGTGTCATGTGGTCTCCTTCGCTGGAGCTGAACTTCTTACGAGCAGCCAGCACCTCTTCCCGCCGGGCCGGAGGGTTGTACAGTACAGTGTCCACTGACAGCAGAGACACAATGCTCAAAATCTCATCCGAGCAGGAGTAGTCCGGGGACAACAGGATGGTCTGTGAAATGGAGCAAACGAAGCAGGGAAGTATTGCACCAAATTCTATCTGGGTCACGCGTGCAACCCGCGTGTCGCTGTGGGTCACTTTTTGTCAGAACCACAACAGTATCAGTATCTATTTGTGTAATAAGCTAATGCATTTCCAAACATCTTTTACCTTGGCATATCTTGGCTCCAGAGGGAAGCTTGCCATCTTCTTGCCCAGAGCAGTGAGGAAGACCTGCCCCTCCTTCCTCTCCACAGCTCCCAGCAGCTCTAGGTGCTCCACAGCAGAACGGACGGCCTCTGGGATAAACAGACAACAGGTTACCACGACCTACCGAGCCTCCGGGATGACCAGAGGTGTGTAGTGATAGATGATCAACTGCATCTTACCTGGAGAAGGCTTGGACATGAAATCAAAATTCATCACATCCGGAATCCCCAGAGCCATGAGCTGCAGCATCACACCGGCCAAGTTACACCTGCAGCGCGCACACACACGCGCGTACACACACACACGAAAAGGAACAGGAGAACAGGCCATTCAATCACACTGACCTAAATAAATCACCATGTGGGAGGGATTCCTGCAGATAAGCACATTTTTGTATTATCTCAATGAATATAAAGGAGTCCTGCGGTACCTCTGGATCTCAGGCACTGTCATAGGGATGAGGTTGTCAAATTCCTGCTCAGTGTAGAGACGGTAGCAGGAGCCAGAGTCCTCCCTGCCGGCCCGGCCCGCTCGCTGCCACGCCTGGGCTTTAGAGACCCGCTGCACCGCCAGCACCTCCAGCCCGCTGTCTGAGAGTCACACAGCACATGTACTATAAGACGACAAATATTATTATATTATAAATAAATATAAACCATTGCTGATGTTACTGTTTGGAGGATGTAATTATATATAGAAAGTATATTTATAATATATAAGGTGATCCCTTGGATTCTCATCTAGCGCCACCAGCAGGTCAAAATTTATATTTGTCCAGTACTTTGGTTTATTACCAAACACCTGAGCATCAGCTGTACTGTGCATCACTGTACATGCTCTCTACGGTCAGTGGTGGAGGAAGGACTCAGATCTTTTACTCCAGTAAAAAGTAACAACACAATAATAAAAAAATGACTCCACTGTAAGTAAAAGTCCCGTGTTCAAAATCTTACTTAAGTAAAAGTACAGAAGTATTATCCTTTAAATATACTTAAAGTAGCCTATCAAACAGTACAGTGCCTGATATATTATTATATAGTACATTATTAGGTGTATAAAACTGATACTGATGTTAGAGCAGCATTTTAACTTTAACTACTTTATATAAAGTTAGTCCAGTGGTTCCCAACCTAGGGATCGGGCCCCTCCAAAGGGACACCAGATCTGAGGGGTGGTGAGATGATTAATGGGTTTGAAAAGAAGAAAAAAACAAAGTTCTGCTTCGGCTTGTGTGTGATAAAAAAAAAACTTGGTTTCCTCTTTGTCTATGACTAATAAAGGCACTAGTCATTATTCAGTGTTTCATGAACTTACCTGGATTGAAACGTTTGGCCTTCACCATCCCTGTGTCTATGACGTATTTGATCCCAGATATTGTAACTGACGTCTCGGCGATGTTGGTTGAGAGGATGACTTTCCTACATCCCTGAAAAAGGCAGAGAGGACAACGTTCTGCATGAAGCATACAATAATATAAAACTGATGTATGTAGCTGTACAGTGATGACAGAACAAGGCACTTTTGTGTGACACTTCTGCAGTAAAGCTAAAACAATGGCAGACGTGTCTTAAACAGAGACACAGCTGAGAACAGCAGTGCCACAGTATAAATATTCTTCCTGCGTGCTTAGTGCTGCCTTTACCTTGGGAGCTGGCTGGAAGACCCTGAGCTGCTGTGCTGGGGGCAGAGACGCGTACAAAGGGATAACAACCATGGGGCCACAGCCGTCAGGGAGATGCTTAGCGATGTCCCGGCACGTCCGCGCCAGAGCCTCGATTTCCTCCTGACCCGTCATGAACACTAAGATGTCGTGGGACGGAGGTGCCTCCTGTGCACAAACAACAAAACCGCGTTCTGTTCCAGTGTCAAGAAGAATCAACACAGCTCAGTTTCCTATAACGCTAAAGGGACAGAGTGTTCTTGGGGATTTGATTTAAATACAGCTGATTCCACATGAGTGATTAAAGTAGATGTCCCTCCACAGATATTGAAGACTACCTGATGGATCTGGAAGATGGAGACGAGTGCGGCCTGCAGATAGTCTGACTGGGCCTGCTTGGTGTAGTAGATCTGAATGGGATGCTGTCTGCCCTCCAGGTAGAGTACAGGGGACTTGTTGAAGTACTCAGAGAACAAATCCACATCCATGGTGGCTGACATCACTATGACCTGCGCAGGTGACACAGAAGAAAGAAGCTGCACTTTGGGATTTGGGTGTATTTAAGGAGATGCTCAAACAGATCAACAGAGCAGAGGCAGAAAATGAGCTTATAGGACTGAATGTAGGGGAGGCTTTTTATCTCACGAGCAGACGCAGCGAAAGGATTTGCCTATGAGAGTAAAATATCTGTCTGAAGTCCTCCTACCTTCAGGGGAATCTTATTAAGTTCTCTGCGCCTGCGTTGAGCAGTCTTAACCACGCCGAACAGCACATCAGTGTGCACGGTGCGCTCGTGAGCTTCATCCAGGACCACCACAGTGTAGCGCAGCAGTAAGGGGTCTCCGATGGCCTCGCGCAGGAGCATGCCATCTGTCATGAACTTCAGCTTTGTTTCAGAGGAGGTCACATCCTCAAAACGCACCGTGTATCCGACCTGAAAAGAAGCGATTTATTATAAGAGCCAAGACTTATGAAGTACTGATATTACTACAGCTAGTCAAACAATGTTTATTACAGCACACGCACATACAATGAAGACTTGTATTATTATTAAGCTGCGGATTAAAGGTTCCATGTAGAGTTTTCGTAGCGTCGTGAAGCTGTTTTTTAGTGAGTGGGTCCTTGCTTTGTTCATCTCGGGACAAGCCCACATGCGGGTGACCCAATACACATCCCTGCTAATGGTTTCACATTATACTGCTGATCTACAGGTGGTAGTAATGTGGCAACAAAGGCAAGTCTGCCAGCTAGTCAGAGCAGTAAACAGGGTTTAAAATATTCAAGCTTTGCAAATGTTACATGAGGAAGGAAATGCATTCATCTTGGGTTTTTTCCCTCCAGGACACACTCAGTGGGATTTGTTGAGTAACAATGAATGAAAAGAGGACTTAAGTTTGTTTACAATAAAAAGCCTATATTTCAAAGCCTATACTAAGCACTGGGTATGTGGGAAGCCTGTCTGTGCATACCAGCTTGCCGAGCTGTGTCCTCTTCTCCTCTGCCACCCTTCCTGCCAGTGAGATAGCAGCAACTCGACGGGGCTGAGTGATGGCGACGATGCCCTGTCGTCCGATGCCGGCCTCATACAGATACTGGGGGATCTGAGTGGTCTTCCCAGAGCCAGTCTCCCCTGATGCATTTGGAAGAATGGGTCAAGTAACAAAAACAAAAACCCAAGTTAGAAACACCATAAATCTGCTGTAAATGACAGGATTTCTGAGCCTAAATGTGATACCACTCACTTACTGAGTTGGGAAATTAATTCAGGCTATAATAAATGAAACTCATTTAAAAGAAAAAGAGATTTGTAGAGATGTACCAATTGGAACTGAGCTGTAGCACATTACAGAGCTGACACCATGACTCTGTGTGAGAGCAGAGCAGTGTTATATTATTATATTATATATGTATGTATGTTAGCACTGTACCTATCAGAATGGCAGTGTGAAGCTGTCTCAGTTGGTTCAGTAGCTGAGCTTTCGCCTGGTAGATCGGAAGCTGTTTCCTCTGGACGTCTATTGGAGTGGTTGCATTCCCCTTTCTAGGCAGCAGCATTCCAGGCTTATTCCTGTCGAGACGGAAAAAAACGGACCCCGGCTTGAATCTTTTAGCCGGAGGAGGGTCGGGGTCGTGGGGCATGGTCTGGAGAAAGTGACTCTGATGGCGAAAGCTTCGCGGCTCTTTCTGGAGACTCTTTTAAAAGTTTTTTTCGTGCTCACTGACAGACAGGAGAGCGTCACTGCGGATGTTTTGCTACCGCTGCAGAAACGTCCCCACGTGGTAAACGTCGGCGCAGACGTTTGACGTCACAGGTTCCCTGTTCAGTTTAGCCGGAGTGTGGACGGACAGACAGACAGACAGACAGACAGACAGGTACATCCACGAACTGTATGAACCTCGGCTGTACAAAGGGTTACCTGTCTGTCTATAGCTGGGCGGTTGTCATCGTGTTTCAATCCCACTCTGGGACTGCAATGCTATTTCTGGTTTCTGAAATAAAACTCATCTGCCTGGGATTGAAGATTTATGGAAGATTTAAAATACCTAAATAAAAAATAATTAAATAAAAAAATAATAAAGTGAAGTGTTCTTTTGTATGTATGTTTTTACTGTGGAAATAAATAAAAAAAACATGCTGAAATTACAATTATTTGATTTTTTGCCTGTTTTGTCATTCTGATACATTTTTCCATGCCATATTAAAATCGAATCACAACATTAAAAACAAGGCGAAAAAGAGTATTGCATTTCAGTTTTGTCCAGCAGGGGACAGCATAGACCTGGCAGTACGAAATGCAAGGTACGGTTGTTAGTTTCCCTGAAGCGTCCAGGAACTGCTTGTGGCTGTGAAGGAATTCTGGCGTAGTGGCCACACAGGGTATTGCAGCTTGCGGGATGACACGCTGGACCAAAAAGCTTTTTTTCTCATCCAGTAATTGGAAAAGTAACATGTGTTTGTTATTGGACTGAATTTGATCCATTCAGTCCAATAACATTTGGCGAAGTCAAGCCATATGATTAAAATATTTTATCACATTTATTATGTGTGCGGGGAGCCAACAGGCAGTCTTGCCATTTGGATGCCCTGAGTGTAATCGCTTTTTGAATGCATACACTGAATAATATTTCACTGAAACAAATCTAAATGGTAGTAAAATAAATAATATTCACAACATCAAGCACACAGACGTCAGTCAGTATGAGTCCTTCCTGACGTACCCTCAGATTCGTGGCAGACTCATATAATACCACATGTAGACATCTTTCCTTTTAGCTGGTTCCTTGGTCAGCAAGTGTACTGTGGGTGTAACAACAACAAAGCAGGTTTTTCTACTTTGTCCTTAATCTGTCATCAACTGGAGTTAACAGTCAGCTTCACTATCTGCACCGCGGCCTCTCTGATGTCTATCTGCTCTGTGTGTGTTTCTGTTTGTCGAGGTTATTAGAGTTTTAAAAAAAACTAAAACCGAAACTAATAAAAACTAAACTAAAAATAAACATTTTTAAACAATACAAACTAAACGGAAACAAGCAAACTCACTCAAAACTCAAACTCACACACAAATTAGTAATGAAAAATACAAAACTACAATAACTGATGTGTGTGAGTGGAGCTGAGCTTGGCCCCCTGTCCTGCAAAGGAGAGCTTTAAATGACAGCAAAACATGAGAACATTAGTTTCTGCGCCCTGTATATAACATTATGCTCATTATGATTAATGATCTCTAGGCTGTTTTGGTGCCCCCCGTATGTGATGTACATGTATGTAGCGGTGGTGCTGGTCAGCCAGCATGGCCGGCAAAAGTCTCAAACGCATGCTCTCAACCGGCCCAGTTCGGAAGCATGAGGAACTTGAAACTAGAACCATTTCTGAAAACAATTGTGTGTATGCTGGATGTTGAAAATCTGAAGCTAAAGTGCATTGCTGGCTTTAAAAGGTGAATAATACCAATAATGTAAGAAAGATGTGGAATACTATAAGGTTTATTGAAAAACTGACGCTAAACTGAATTTCCACCTCTTATTTGTATGAAAAAACAGCTACGAAGTAAAGGCTATAGTATGAATAAAGGCTAAGTTCCATTAGTCATTGACTGTCTGCTGTTTTAAGGGATGTACTGTGCTGCAGGAAGCTGCACAAACAGACGTTAAGTGTTAATTAGTGTCAGCACACTCATATTAGTTAATCTCTATGGTAGATTTCTGAAATTTAGCACTATGTTGTGTTGTCAGAACAAAAGTGACAGTTGACTGTCAGTGGTCCTTGCAGACATCTTTTATGTTCCATTGTACCAGTCAGTGTTTATTGTAAGCTAACACTTGTTAACTAACTAATTCCACTGGGTTTGAACAACTAACGTTCATTAGGTGCCAAGAAGATCCCTGAGTGTCTGACTGTACACACCGTGCCATGGAAAATGTAGGTCACAGTGAATTCAGTTAAGAGGATCTATTGGGAGAAATAGAACATAATATTCATATGTATGTTTTCATTAGTGTACAATCAACTGGTTGAATATAGGAATTGTTGTGTTACCAAAAAAAAAACGCCTTTCATCGAGTCCGCCATGTTGAACCGCCATGTTTCTACAGTAGCCCAGAACGGACAAAAGACACACCTGCTGCAGAGCGCCTTTCACAAGTTTCATGGCCACCTTAGTTTCTCCTACAGCACTACACATTCCCAGACTGTCAGATACAGACGTGAGCAGTGTTCAGGTAGATGCAGTCTGCAACTTGACTGCTAGATGCCACTAAATCCTACAGACCAGGTCCTTAAAAAACAAACTGAATGAATTGTCATTCATTTAATCATAACACAGTAAATGCGTACATAACATTCCAATACATATCACAATGTCAGCTGTGTGACCTGTTTTTATTTAGGCCGTTTAAATCTTCCATAAGTTTGGGCCCCAACAGAATAAAGCTCTGGAATGTGTTGTTTATCTTTGATGCTGCCACCAGGGGGCAATATGGTGTGTTTACTTCACAAACACTGACTGCAAGCTTTGGGAGCCAGTTGCAGTCTGTGTGTCTGTTTTATATGGTCTGTTTACAGTGTTTATTTCTGATTCCGATAAGCCTTTTCATGCTGGATTTAGCCTACTGCTAGGCATGGTGGACTTTAATCTGTCTGGAGGAGACCACAGAAATGTCTATAACATATCCACTTCAATATATAATAAAAACACAAGATAGCCATTTTTGACAGTTGTCACAATAGTCACACTAAACAACTACAAAACCCGTTTTCAGGAAACACTATTTATAACTGCAAAACCAACACTGTAAAATACAAAGGCAAGATAATTCACAGAGATATGCAATGGGAATATTTCAGTGAACCAAGTGAGAATATTTCAAGCCTCAAGAATTAGTGGCTCATGATGTGAAATTCAAAGCTGTTATTTAAGTATATATATATATATTAATGCCCTAAATATTTTATGCTCTTGAGCACCACATACAAATAAGATTGACAATGATGTTCTCATGTTCTGCTTTAATTAATAGCAATACTATCACCTTCTCCTGCCCCTAGTCAGCGTGTCAACAGTTCTGTTAAGCAACAGCGTTTACATCCAGAGCCACGGGGAAGAAAATGTCCTTGAATTGCTCATTGTAGCCCCTTCAGACCCGCCTTATGTTCCAAGGTTGTGAAAAATATAATAATGACTTTTTCCCATCCTTAATGCAACCAGAAATGAGAATCAATAAAAAAATTTTTTTAATCAAAACCCTTTAATTGTTATTTTTCTTGTCCATTTCAATGGACATCGGGTCCAAACAATTCTTAAAATACCAACATCATATGACAACATCATACCTATTTTTTGTCTGTTAAATGTTGCAAAAAGTAAAAAAGAAGCCCCTGTCAAGTGACTTCCATTGTAATGGACACAGGGTCTGAAGGGGTTAAAACCTTCCCTCTACAATGGTCCAGGCAGTGCGGCACATGCCTACATAGCATCGTGCAACCAGGGCATGACTTGTGAAAACAAGTCAAATTTAAGGAAACGGCTCATGCACCAACATGTTCTTGGTTGAAACACAGGTTATTTAGTAATACACAGGAAGTGCAGCAATGCTGCATTGCAATAGTAGAAAATTCAGTAGAAAGTGTTTCATTGCCGAGGAAGAGGAGTGTAGTAAACAGCACTCGAAATTAAGGATGTCTTGTTGTCTTGGGGACAATAAAAGTAGCTCCCTGGGAACAAAGATACAGCGTCTGGGACAATTCTGGGACAGTTGAGATTAGAAATATATCATTACAAATGAAATTACTACATTTATGCATTTTGGTATGTATAGAATTTTAATTAAGAGGTAGCATCGGCACAAGCTCTGGGCTGCGTCACACGTATATAATATATTATAATGTAATTCATTCCCATGCATGCGGCTCAGAGTTCAAGGCTCTTCTGCCAATAGTGCCGGGGTCTCTCCCTCTCCTCTTGCTGTTTTCTTGTATTTTATAAATATTTACATAGTTTGTTTGACTTTCTCCCTCACACTTTGCCTCCGGGTCTCTGGATTAGAGTTCTCCTATAGTTTGTAAATATGTATGTAGTTACATATTTACAAACTATAGGAGAACTCTAATCCAGACCTTCTTTCTCACTTGGGATGTATTGCCATTGCAAGTTGCCACGGTCCCCAGAGGATGACTCCTAATAACTTTTGCCCATCCCTTGACTTTTTATCTAGCGCCATCAGCAGGTCAGAATTTGTCAAGAGCCTCGGCTGTACTGTGTGCAGTGCAAATTAGCAAACGTTAGCATGCTAACTGAAGCTGATGAACCTGGTAAAAATGACACCTGCTATCAGCATGTTAGCACAGGTTGCTGATCCCCACTTTCAGCTCTGTCTCTGTCACCCGCTGCCCCTTCACCCAAATTACTGAAAATATCTTCTCACTTATCTAGTGGCACCTATCCATGCTGATAGTTTTGCATCTATCTGTCCAGGTTTTTGAGATATTCGGCCCTAAAATGTCTGCCACCACCTTTAATAATGTGTAATGTGTGGTGCCCACAGCATTAGACGCGCAGTTTGTAATTTCTCCCTTTTTAAAACGATAAGAAAAGATGTAGTTTGATGACATGATGTCATGAAGTAGCGTAGGATCGGATGTGCGTGCAGTAATAAAATTCATCAGGATATCAAAACAATGTCACATGACTTATTTCTATTGCTGTTAAACAACCACAGATGAAAATCTACCAGTTATCACTCAGGCAGAAATAATGTTCAGGGACAAAGTAATGTATTGTTTATGTATAAGTTTTATTTATGCTTAGTCACTTCCTTCCTCCTCCACTGTCGCATCCCGTGTTTTCCAGGTAATTAAAGGCAGTATCTGCGGGTGCACAGTCTTAAAGGACACGCCTATGATATGCCCTCGAAACTGTCGCAGTTTGCTCAGGTTTAGGCAGCAAAACAACTTTTAGAAAGAGATTGTGGTTGACAAATGACAGATTCCACTGGTTTTGAACATTGTTGGAAACGTCGGATAAAGTACACAATTCAACAAAAAAATGTACAAAGTAATTTTAATTATCATTTAAAAATAGAATTAAATATATTTAATTTATTCAAGTCCAATTCTGAGGAGAAAAATGGATAATCCACAGAATTATAGGACCTGTGTCTAGAGTTCAGTGGTATCTAGTGGTGAAGTTGCAGATTGCGAGTAACTGAACACTACTCGCATCTATATACCTTGGAATGAGAACGGGCTGTCAAAGGTGTAGAAGAATACAGTAGCTGCAAAACTTGCATTAAACGTGAAAGGCCCTATGTACAGCCAGTGTTTGGTTTGTCCACTCTGGTCTAATGGTAGACTACATGGAAGGCATCTGTACATAAAATGCCTCATTGTAAGGTAATTAAAACATAATTCCTATTTTCAAGTGATTATACACTAATGAAAACATAGCTATGAATATTATATCGATATATTTTATTAGATCCTCCTAAATGTTACACACTGGACCTTTAACTGTGTACAATTTCAATTATCTCCCAGTGTCCCTTTAAAAAAAAAAAAGCAGTTTGTGCCAATTGGCACACTTTACATTGTGTCTAGAGCAGGTTATTATTTAGATTGTCATACAGCAGTTTTTTTTTTATGCAATCCTTGCAAAATCCTTACAATCCTGCCAAATCCTTGCAATCCTACCAAATTCGAGGCATGGCCATTTTGTGGTGATTTCCAATGTATATTCATATGTCTTTTGGTTAATAGGCTTTAACCAGATTTAGATTTGGATTTTAAACATCATTCCAAAAGAAGATGTCCCCTTTGCTAATCTCTGGAGATTAGAAAGCACTGCGCACAATTGAGAAAAACACACATGTCAGAGAGGAAACCTTTTATGCAACATTCTTCATATTTCAACTTATTCATACTGAAATGGGATGATTCACTTTTAGTATAACTGTGCCACTTTCTTGCCTCCGAGAATGAAGATTAGGAATGCAAAGCGCCTCACGGTATATGAAAGGAGAGTGAGAGAGAGAGTGAGTGAATCTCTGAGTGGGGTGAGAAACCCTAAACGTTTCTCTGTGTGCCCCCCACACAAAATGACGATAAAACATAAGAAGGCTTAACGTCTGCGAATGGTGACATGAGGTTAGGCAAACAAGCTGAACTGTGGCATACACATTGTTTGTGTTGAGCTTGTGTGTTTTTTTTGTCTCTGTCTAGCATTGCAGGAAGAGAGTGTCAGTGGAGACGATAAGGTTTGATTGCACGCACAGAGGAGGAGGTCCACCACTTGTGTGGCAGCTGCTGAGTTGTTTGCAAACAAGTCAAGAATGAATTCCAAAAATGTCTTTCCACATGTGCTGCTGCTTTTGAGGAAAGGAGAGAGAAGAAGAGATGCAAGGAAAGACCGGGAGATACAGTGGTGTGAAAAGAGAGTGACTGAAAGGAGAGTGACCCTATGGAGGGAGAGAGAGAGAGAGAGAGAGAGAGAGAGAGAGAGAGAGAGAGAGGGAGGGAGGGAGAGAGAGAGAGAGAAGCATGAGAGGGGAGGGAGGGAGGAAGTCCTACACTTCAGGACTTCTCATAAAGCGCGTCAGACATTACTTATGAGAGGAGGCAGAGGACCTTTGCCACAAGTGAGGAACGGGCCGACCAGGAGAAGTGGAGTCTGGTTGTTTATATGCAAGTGGAAGAGAGAGAGAGAGAGAGACCCTCCTCTCCGTGGGTCAGCCGATGAGAGAAGATGAAGAGCCAAATCACCAACGCCCTCTCGGACTTCTTCTTCGAGTATGAGACCCCGCGCCAGGTGCTGGTGAGGAACAGGCGGGTGGGAGTGGTGTGCCGTCTGATCCAGCTGGGGGTCCTGGCCTACATCATTGGGTAAGACCTACACAGTCATCCTTTTTTTAAAAAAATGTATTTATTGGCTGTTCAACAGGCAGGCTTGAGTGCAGGGAGGGTTTGCATTGTGCATGTTTCTACTTGCTTGCAGTCACACATTCTGCTGCAACTGACCTCTCAGAGAGATCCTGCAAATTTCAACAACTAGAGTGACACAACCCTGATGTCTTAACTTTGCACTGCATGATAAAAAAAGCGTTATGTACTGCTCAAATGACTGGAAACGCATCATTTTTAAAAGGAAGACCTCTTATTTGACTTCCGGAGGGTGCTATCAAGGGTCAGAGATAAGTACTGTAAATTGGCACTGTTGACACAGCAATATATGCACTGTAAACCAAACAAAAGAGAGCAAATGACTGAGTGGTGGCAGAATCTGAGAACAGATAACTTTTATCATCCGTCCTTCTCAAGTTAAGGCAAGGAAATACAACACGTTTGTTAACTTAAACATACTTCCTCTTGCTTTGACATGTTGGAGTCATTCCCTGGAAGTTCACTCTAATCTCACTTCATTGCATCATGTATCTTTTCTGCTTTTGTTGGCCTGAAATTACTCATGGACTGTCTATGTGCATATGTATGTGTGTATCTGTGTGTGTGTGTGTCTGCACCTCTGAGCAGCAGAACCTGAGGAGCTGTGTGTGATGAACACGCTGAGGCATATGCTAACACAGATAACAATCAACTGCTGCCCAATTCGCTGCCAAACAGCGCAGAGATGCCTTACCTTCTGCTGGTGACAGAGAAACAAAGAAAGAAAATCTTGTCTTGCTAATGGCGAGGTTATTCTTTTTTTTTTGAAAGTGGAAACAGCCAGCTGATTTAAACTGATTGGAAATGGCCCACAGTTGGTTTCTTCTCTCATCTTGACGACCTTCAGATCCCAACAGATGATATGTGGATGATCATTTCCTTTATTGCAAACCTTAGACTGGGGTAGCTGTGAAATATGTTGCGCAGTGCTCTGAGGTAAATAAAAGGGGAACAGCTACAGTGTCTTTCAGAGGTTTGGTCTCTTTTGGTAATGAGGTCTCCCCGTGCACGTGAGGTGAGGTGCCCTTGAGCAAGGCGCCTAATCCCTGACTGCTCCCGGAGCGCCGTTACTTGGCGGTCCATTACCCCACCATCTCTCCACATTTGCATGTCTATAAGCCGTGTTTGTGCATGATTGTGCTTCAGGCCTATGTGTGTGTAAACACAGAATGAAAACAGAATTTCCTAACTGGAGCTAAATAAAGTATATCTTCTTCTTCTTCTTCTTCTTCTTCTTCTTCTTCTTTTTCTTCTTCATGACAGCGCTCCTTCCTGTCACCCTCCTTTTGCAGCCATCAGGCCACATTAAGGCTGGTGATGGGCACGGAAAGAGATGTGATTATAAAGCTGTCCAGATTCTCCTCTTCAGGATTCGAGGAGAGGGTTGTCAGGTTGGAGCGGAAGTCAGTCTGTGTTTCTCAGGCACTAGCAGTGAACCGGTGCACCACTGGTTGTCTTGTCAGGAGTATTACATTTTGTTTTAAACCCTGGGTTTGCCACAGAAACAGTTGCTATTTTAGTTTTATTTTTGCAATCAGCAAACAAATTACGGATATATTTGTGTGCTTCCATTATCTTACCAGACAACTTTCTTCTCAAATATGAAAAAGGATGCATCTTTGGCCGGCTACAGTTCGAGTGTACACATACCAGACAGTGCTCTGAGTTAATCTCACAAAAATATCCCACATGATTTTAACATATTTGATACATGAATTGAAAATCAATCAAAAAGCGAAGACTAATTTAATAGAGGAGAGCAGCTTCAACAAACTATAATTACTATGCTTTTAATTAATTCCCGTCTTGTCACTTTTAAATTGACAAAATGCCAGCCCATTGTTTGCTTTTCAGGGATTCATTGATTTTTTTTTTTGCTTGTTCTGATTCTTCTTCACAAAATGAACACTAATCTCAGAGCCACAGTATGGTAGAGAGGAAGAAAAGCCCTGCACACATCAAGCATCCTCCTCCCTGCCTCCTTCTGTCGGAGCAGATACAGATCTTACTTGGACTGCTGTTTTGGAAGATCCTTCCATTATTTCACGCTCATGGGTTTCTTTATTCCATTAATGTGCTCTATTTTTGTCTCCACTTCCTCTTTAACGTAATACCCAACTTGAATTTGCATTTGATTTGTCTTACTGATAGAAGTTGTGACATTCGTTGTGCACGCTATTTCAGGCCGCAGTTCTCTTGCTTTGAGGTTTTTTCATTGACCACAGACAAATGAGTATGTGCTGCAATACTTGTTCTCCTGTAGGCCTTCTGCCAGAGGGTAATTGCTTTTGCACGCTATATAAAATATCTATGCATGTGTGTGTGTGTGTGTGTGTGTGTGTGTGTGTGTACATACAGTATCTCCCCAGTGCACACCAGCTGTTACCCATAGCTTGTGGCCAGACGCACATAGAGCAACACAATGTGAAGCTCCACAGAGATCGAGATGTACTGCACCTGAGCGAGGCGAGCTTTTGCTTAATGGGGATTATTTTATGTGACAAAGGGTTTGGGCACTTGTTCTTAATATAGACAACTCAACATCACTACAGTTTTTCACCGGCCTTTACGACCAGAACAAACCTGGAATATTTAACGTTTGGCGTACAAAGTGAAAATGCTGTTCTACAGTAGCTCTCATATCTCTTCATAGATCATCACCAGGGACGCAACAAGCACTGAGATGCTTTGCTTAAGTAAAAAAAAAATACTAATAAAATAATGTAAAAATACTCCATAACAAGTCTTACATTTAAAGCACAAAAAAGCACTAAATTATTTATCAGCAAGAAAAATTTTCATAAAGTATCAAAAAGAAAATTTCTCCTTCTACATAAAACTGATCCCAGTGACATATTACATATAAGTAACATAAAAGAGATGAATTATATTATTATTATTATTATTATTATATTGTTAATTGCATTTTGCTCTTGTAGCTGGTTTCCATTACTTATATATATAATTAGAAAATGTACACACTGCGTCACACACCTTAAAAAGGTCACCAGATAAATCTGAGAAGTGAGAAATCAAAAGAGGAAAGAGGAAAAAAAGTTCTGCTACATACATTCATGTTAATGTATTAAGGGGAAATGTCTCTTTTATATAGAACTAAATAATTGAAGTATAAAATAACTTAGTTACTTTCAACCACTGATTATCACAATCAGTATACTTGGAGAAAGGTAGTTTGCATCTGTCTTTATACTGATAAACATGCAATATGATGTTGTAACATGACAGATTCCTTTTCAATACCATCTGTGGATCTGTGCTTTTAGATGGGAAAGTTTCATTATTGCTCCGACAGAAACTGCCTCCCACTGAACCACAACTGTGTAATCCTTATTATTTACTTACTAAGCTTGAAACACTTTCACTTTCTTTTAACACTTTGAATTACATATTAGTAGATGTCTCAGTACTGAAATTCCATATGTCAGATTTCTCTTAGTGGTAGTAAAGGGACGTACGACCACCATGACATTGCACAATCACCATCACTTGCACGTGTCCCTGTGAGGTTATGCTGCTGGCATGTGGGATTGCTGTGCAAAATGTCAACATCACCGCTATACATGCCCTTGCCTGTCGGGTTGGTTGGATGGTTGATGGTGGTGGAGGTGCTGACAGGCCTGACAAGATGCTTTCTGTGTCTCTTACAGGTGGGTGTTCATCTATGAGAAAGGCTACCAGTCCTCAGACACAGCCGTGAGCTCTGTCTTCAGCAAAATGAAAGGAGTGGGCTATACCAATGTGACTGGAACTGAGAGAATCTGGGATGTGGCCGACTACGTCTTCCCTCCGCAGGTTGGTGACTGGTTGGCATGATGTGAATTGTTCCTTAGGAGTCACAAGTCTTCATTTCCACTGACTCGTTTACTGACTCGCCCCTCCTACCTCCTAAAATTTACAAGAGGTGAGACCACGTGTCACTCACACTATTGTGCAACTCTTATAACTATTTGTGGAAATGTATTAAGTTGATTACTATATTAACCAAACCCTTACTGTAACACCTGATGAGTTAGTTCAACTCAAATTGTTTGAGGAAACAGGTTGCCTTAAACTGTTTAAATTTGTTACCTCCAACAAACATGCAAAAATATTTGAGTAAAGGTAACTCAAGTATTTATTTTAGGTTTAGGTAAGTTAAGTTAATTGCACTAATTTCCTTCAGTTAATTGAACTTAAAACTAGTAAGTATAATACACTTATATGCAGCATTTGTCCAAAATTATTGAAAATGTTATCTATCGGAAAAATGACTGACTTTAATATATACATTTGTTAGAAATAAAATTAAATTTACTCATTTTCTTCCACTAAAACAAATAGTTACATCACATTAGCTATGATTAAGTTTACTTCTTTTATTAAGATATGTTGTTGGATTTACAGTGATGTGAGAAGAACAACCCGCTTTGGCGCTTGTTTCAACTCAGTACTCGCTCTCCCAGCCTGGAGCCCAGCCCTTGCCCTGAGCTGAAGGTCTGACTCAGGCGGCACGAATCGCTCACTCACTATAATTCTTTTGCATCACAACCTCCATGAAAGGACTTGTTTGAATGAATGAAACCGGAAATTAGTCAGCAGGGCCCCCGGCAGTCTGGTGCACATGTTCTATGGGTGCTGGGTGGATTCACCAAGCTCTCGGTGCCTGACTTGGTGACTCTAGTGACTTACACTCAAGAGCTGAACTTCCTACCTCTATGGGCTGAAGGCTTTTCTTGCATGCAGGAACACTTAATATGCTCATCCCATGACTCTGGGTCACTCAGATATCATGAAGTCAGCATCCACAGTCAATGACTCAAACTGCAACTTGAAAATGATTCAAAAGCTGGTCACTGGTCAGATCGTGACAAAGATCAAGGTTTAGTTATGCTTTTAAAATATCCGTGTTAGCTAGATATGCCAATAAAGGTACAATGATATTTTGGCTTTGTCAACATCAAGGTGTGCTGGGTGCATCCATACAGAAATAAGCAAACAACCTATAAAAAAGAAGACTCAAATACATTTCTTTGTTTAACCAAAATGTTGCTGGGTCTGTGGGAAAGAAAAATAAAGAGACACAATGAAGACTGTCATGTTTGCTTTGAAGTCTGGGTGTAGGCCCTTTTAAATTCAGAGCATTGTGGTCACAATGTAACGTCTAGGTCGCTTTGATCAGGTATCAACCAACGATCAGTTCATCTTTATTCTGAAATCCTCCTCTTTGTCTGTGAAAATGTCACAGATGGTTGTTGTTTTACTAATTTAGTTTATTACTTTCTGTGATAATGGTTCCGTTTGAGAGAAACTTAATCCAATAGGCCATACTTTGTGTTCTCAATGGCTCTGTGACAATAAACTTAAAGGTCAACAGCATCAAACTACAATATTGTGGCATTCAGCATCTTGTCTCCAATGATACCACCGTACATGAAATAAAAGAGCGTAATCATGGTCATACAGTAAAAATACATGTGATACTGTATATATATATATATATATCTATATATATATCTATATATATAGATATATATATAAAATAATAGTCATAATATTTTGGGAAATGTGCTTATTTGCTTTCTTTGCCAAGAGTTAGACAAGAACGTCGACCCTAAATAAAGCCAAGAGCCAGTTAGCTTAGCATAGCATGAAGACTGGGGGGAACAGCCAGCCTGGCTGTCCAAAGGTAACACAATCTGCCCACCAGCACCTCTGACTGTGGGTTCAGACAAACTCATTTTAGAGGCAGTGAGTGCATACAAAGTCAATGGAAAGTCATGATTAAACACAAATTTGCCCAAAGAGGTGAGTGAAAAATAAAAAAGGAGAGTTTCTTTTGAGTTCTGAGTTCAGTCACACACACACACACACACACACACACACTATCACAGACATGGTCGGTGCGTCTGTTGTATGCAAATTAAATGAGTTGAAATGAGTAAAAATGTGTCTGAAAGGACCTTAAAGCTTACTAGTTAACATGACTTGTTTCATCCAGGAGGTCCTTGCTCACTGCCAAGAAATAGTCCAGCGTATAACCCCCCTGTGACTGAACCACCACTTGTTTTTACACAGATTCAACAATCGAGATCTGACGTAAAGCAATAATTGATTAGTGTTTGCTTTCTGGCAGAATGTTAGACAGGAAGATTGTTACCACTTTCATGTTTTTGTGTTAATATAAAACTGGAGCCAGCAGCCAGTTGGCTTAGTTTAGCATAAAGACTGGAATCAGGCTCCACTGCAACCCTGGCTCTATTTTACAGGATGTTATACCTCACGTAATAAAACCATTAAGTGTTGTTTTTGTACAGATTTAACAAATGAGATACAACATGTTAATTAGTGAGCTTTTAGAGGTGCTGGTAGCTACACTGTCTGCAGTCTCTAACAGTCTCCTAGTTTAAACCATACGGATAGATACAGAGAGTGGTATCAATCTTCTTATAAAACGTTGGAAAGGTTTTGTTTGAAGACGTTTGTGATGTCAGCGGGGTCACTACAATTGACTGTTTGACAGGCAACAAACTTTAGCATGTTGCCTAACAACTACTGCATCTTGCACTGTGTCATTTTATGGCATAAATAAATGTGATTGATTGAAAAACATTTAACACATTACTTCTTTTAATCCTTAACCTCAGGGAGACTCATCTTTTGTGGTGATGACAAACTACATCATAACTGAAGGTCAGAAGATGGGAAACTGTCCAGAGGTAGGTGAAAATACTTTTTCTGCTCTTTTTCTTTTTCCGTCTCTCCTCCTCCCTGACTTCTTCTTCCTGTCGGCTTTGTTGTTCTCCCTCTGACTTAAACACTTCCATAAATAGTAAAACAAAAACGGAAACTGTGTCTCATTCCAAGACTGTTTCTGTAATTGGGTAATTGTGAAGCTGTTGAATAGCAGAAAAAAAGAAATTTGACGTATTGGCCTTGAGGTAAGTGCTGCAAAATATTACAATAAATGCAAGACTTTATTTCCACACTGTCGTGTTGTTTTCATGTTTAAAATGTGCTGGTCTCCTCACATCCACATTCCACAGTTGTGTATAGACACTGACTCTGAACTCTTGTGCGTAACAGCTCCCAGGCAAGCACAACTGCAGCTCGGACGCCGACTGTGAAGGAGGGAGTTTCAAACGTACGGGACATGGTAAATCCTGACGGCCTGACAGTGTGAGACCGCAGCAGTCCTCACTGAATAACCGTCTGTCCGTCTGTGGACAAACTCAAATCAGTCTCAATATCTCTTCTTAAACTTCAAGGGTCAGTGACAGGATGTACTGAGGGAGGTAGAGGATTATGGCAGGTTATGAAACAGTGTATTTACAAAATGGGTTGTGGCTGTTGAGAACTGCTATAGGATTGACTCATACAGTAGAAACTAAAATACACCAGATCTGACTCATCACTGTAAACATTTACCACACTTATTTAACATTTAACACATGACATATTGTGTGTGCGTGTGTGTGTTTGCGTCATGGCTTACTGACCACTAAAGGATGCAGCTTAAACCCTTCCTTAAGCAAGTAGACATGTACATATGTACAGGCACAGGCGTCACAAAAACTCCTGTGCAGTTGACACAAATCATAAGCACACAGAGACATTAAAAACAAATAAGGCTTCAAACAAGAGCTTTTTTAATAGGTCCAAACATATACAGTATTGTCAGCGAGTGCAAAGAGCAGTTATATAAATTTATTGTCCTCCAGCTGTGTTAAATTCTGAGTCTTTCAAGTCCTCTGTGACCCACATCAACTTCAATAAGACCAATGTTGGCCAAAGCTTTAGATCTGTCTGTTTCCGACCAGTCAAATTCACCTTGAGGTGCCAGTATCTCTTTAGAGGCGGCGTGCTGTCTCTATGCTTGTAGACAAGTAAACATGGGGGGCGCCCCTATAGCTAAACAGACTGGTGGGCTCCAGCGAAAGGTCAGCGACTGAAGCGAAGAGTGTGCACCAAACGCCTGCTGGAGAACTATCTGTAATCTCATCCAACACACGATGAGAGAGACGGATACCAGCAAAGTTAATCACATAGAGAGAAATGATATATTAGGATCAGGGCCAGATAAAGGAAACAGCTATTTCAGCATTTGCTTTGCCTCACTTTTATATCTTGCTTGCTGCTGTCGATGCTAATTCAAGATAAGATGATTAAACCCTACTTCTTTCTTCTTTTCTTTTTTTTTTTTGCTGCTTGAAACACATGTTTTGCTAAATTCTTGCTCTAGTTTTAAGTTTTTTCTCTAACGGTGAGACATGTTTTTATTTCAAGGACAAATGACGGGAAAGTGTGTGAATACCACGAAGACCTGTGAAGTGTTGGCTTGGTGCCCCGTTGAGGATGATAACAACATACCAGAGTATGTGGAAACATTGAATCATTCAGACTGCAAGTTGATGCTAACTTGCAATGCATGTGATGGGTGAATTTGTTATGATTCTGCGCCATTACATAGCTGTCATGAGAAATATTTGATTATTTTATTTATGCTCCTCAGCGTACTGGATTTGATACTCTTCTCTCTTCTGTTTATTCCCTAGTCCTCCTCTGTTGATGTCTGCAGAAAACTACACACTGTTCATCAAAAATTCTGTAACATTCCCCCTTTTTGAAGTCACAAGGTGATGAACCTCATCCATATCAAGTTAAATTTAGCTTATATGAATAAGTAAATTAATACAAATGAGCCAGGGTTTAGTGTATGTTGTTTCAAATTCCTCCTACCCTAATTAATAATAAATAAAATCACATCTTAAAGGGGCACTCATACAGATTTTACACAAATAGGGCATGGATGAGGACATATACCATCTAATGAAGAATTGTACTCAGTTGCATTACGGGAATAGTAGGCTCCAGTGTTCTTCTTCATTCTTCTTAAGAATGTGTTTGCGTTGTACGGATTGCGTTTCCCCCGGGAGGAGATCCGATCCTAATTTGAGCCTGATCACCTCCAAATGTGTTCTGGCTGATCCAATCATATCCATTGAGTTCTGCATACATTTACACCTGCCATTAACATGCATTTTTCCTCATCCAGATACAGATTGCATTTCAAAGCCAGGTGTAAATAGGGTACAAAGGTCAGGAGATCTTTGCGTCTATTGCACTGATACTGACTTTTCTGTTTTTAATCTGTCTCTTGAAGTCCCCAAACTTTATGAAAGTGCAACACTAAATTGCCAGAGTACCCCTTTAAGTTAGAAAGTTTTGCACTACCAGGGGTTTACACTCATGTTGTTGGTAAAAGCAAAACAAAAAAATGTCACACTTTGTCTTTAAATGTTTAAAGATTATAAATGTCTTAAAGGCAAACAGACAAATGTAATTTGAGGTTATTATTACTCTTTTCTGTGACAAAATTCGACACTCTATTTAGAGTATTACCGTGTTTTTAATGGCCAATTGTGTTTTCAGGAGTAACCTGGTGGAGGGCATCGATAATAATTACATCAGCAAATGCCTTTATGATCAAGAGGATTCTCCACTGTGTCCCATATTCAAACTGGGAGACATAGTTAAAATGTCTGGCTTCAATTTTGAGACAATAGCCAAAGTGGTAAGTCAGCTGCATAAGATCATCACTCAACACTGCATGGGTAGGAATGTTTTTCAGGTGGAGAGGAAGATTTCCATTCCACATAATCACAGCTGCACATGTATTGTCTTTTGGTGTTTTGTTTCTTTAGTGTCTCTTGTTACCATGCAGACTTGTATCATGTATTATGTGCTTGTGCCCTGTCAGGGAGGGGCCATTGGGATTGTGATCGACTGGACATGCAACCTAGATTTCAATGTAAAGCACTGTAAACCAATGTACAACTTCCATGGGCTGTACGGAAACCCTGATGAGAAAGACAAAGCCAGAGCTTCAGTGGGCTACAATTTCAGGTGTGTAACATACTTCACTGAATTATTAGAGACTCTTAGAATACTTCTTGGTCGTAGCTCTGGTGCTCTCTCACTTTGCTTTCTGGCTGAGAGCCACTTATTGTGAGAATCTCCATGGCTGTTTGTAGGTTTGCAAAGCATTATATGGAGGATAAAGTTCAGCAAAGAACCCTTCTCAAAGTGTTTGGGATCAGGATCGATATCATTGTGCAGTCACTGGTAAGTAATGTTTTCTCTATCTAGATGAATTTCTGACTAGAGAAATGGACAAAGGGAATTTTGAATCATTGGCACTCTATCCTTCACAGGCAAGAAAATTCGATATCATCCCAACACTGACAGCTATAGGCTCTGGAGTGGGCATTTTTGGAGTGGTATGTGGAGTAATACCTACCACAATTATTCATTGTCTGTGGAATCATTTGTATAAACTAATATCTGATTCTTTTTCAGGCAACTGTAGTCTGTGACTTGGTGCTACTCTACTTGCTACCAAAAAGAGAATTTTACAAGAACATGAAATTCAAATACACAGATACACAGACACAGGTAAGCTCTATGATGCAGATTAACAGAATATCTTGTAGTTTGAACACAAGATGGCAGCAGAGAGGCATTTAATAATGGCAGTCCAGACAGAATAGTATATAGTGGTCAGTGTTGGATAATCACTGATTTAATCAGGGTTATATTATCAGATTAGAAAGATAAAGTAACTATAATCAGCCCAGGTTACATTTTAATAAAATGTGTTGATTACATTTTTTTTTTTACATCTTTAAAGGTCCAGTGTGTAACATTTAGGAGGATCTATTGGCAAAGATGGAATATAATATTAATAGCTATGTTTTCATTAGTGAATAATCATCTGGAAATAAGAATTGTTGTGTTTCTGTTACCTTAGAATGAGCTGTTTTTATCTACAGACACCACAGGTTGTTTTCCATGGAGGCCGCCATGTTTCTAGTAGCCCATAACTTCACTTCACAAATCACTTACTCTAAATAGTGAACTTTTTTTGCACGTTTTGGCCACCATAATTTCTCCTTTGTGCTTGCAAGGGGAGGGTGAAACAAGGGACTTGAAATCTGCAACCACAAGGCCTGACACCACTAAATCCTACACACTGGTCCTTTAAAATCTGCCAATGCTCTATGAACCCTTTGAGGTCTAAAGATCTCGCTGTGGGAATGTTCCATTGTGCGTTTATGTACGTGTTTGAGATCAGAGCTCTGATTGGCCGTCAATTCAAGAACACAGCCTCTAATTGCTCGACAGACTCAGTCCATGGCCAGTGGATGTCTGACAACCTTGCTGCTAACAAAAACTAGGAAAAAAGGATTAAAAATCATGAGGACATTCAGCATAATTTGATCTGACCAACTGTAAATGCTGAATATGCAAAATGAATTATATTTGCACTGAATTTTTTTGTATAAAATGTTTGAGACGTTTAAAGAGAAAAAGAAAATATTTGTGGAATTTTGTGGCTGTGTCCATTTCTTCTTTAGAAGGTGAAATATTTTCAAAGTTGGACAAAATCCAAAAGTATTACTGATAAGATTACATTGTTTTTGTAGTCCAATGAATTATGTTACTAATACAAAAATGTCCATGTCATTTGTAATCATTAAAGGTCCAGTGTGTAACATTTAACAGGATCTATTGGCAGAAATAATATAATAATATGTTATCATTAGTGTATAATCACCTGAAAATACGAATCATTGTGTTTTCGTTACTTTAGAATGAGACGTTTATATATTCCGACGCTGCAGGTCACCTTCCGCCATGTTGAACCTCAGTGTTTCTACAGTAGTTACTCCTGCACGCTTCACAGCAAATTCTCATTCCCAGGTCGTCAAATATAGATGCTAGTGATGTTAGTTGCAATACCCAACTTGACTACTAGATGCCACTAAATCCTAAACACTGGCCCTTTAACTGACTACATTTCAAAATAGTTTGACCCACTAACAAAGTAACTAACTAAGAAATTGTCTAACTAAGTAACTAACTCACTAACTAACTAACTAACTAACTCACAAACTAACTAACTAACTAACTCTGGGAGTGGTGCTATTCTTTATCAGTACCATATATACAGTACAATCTTTTATCTGATAGAAGATGCAGTCTTCTCCTATCCTCCCAGACAGGTTCCCTCTGTAACTGAAACAGACAGAACATTTTGTATTTACAGCAGGACAGCGAGTCGCTTGGTTTAGACACAGGCGTCTATTACACCATTGAAGCAAATGCAAGACAAGTCCATGGCATTGACAAGTCCAACGTGAGTGCATGTAGAAGTCCAGACAGTATAGCGGCTTTTTATTTAAAAAAAAAATGTATTCTATCATGTGATGATGAGGAGAATCCCTTTTTTCATTACCTAAGAGGTCTTAATTGGTGCTCTCCTGTGGATTTGACTTTCATCCTACAGGACCCTGATTCAGAGGCAGGTAGCACAGAGACTGAGGTATCTAAAGTAAGGGATTGATATATTTATCAGAACAATAAAGCCTGTATGATTGGTTGTCTGTGATGGCTGATGTCTTATTTATCTGCTATTCTTGTGTAGAAGTGACCTGGGAGCAAACTTACAAGGTGCCACTTTGAAGATGCGCTGCACTGGAAACCTGAAAGACACACACACACACACACCCACACACACACACACTCTCTCTCAATGGACTCAGGAGGTCAAATGACATTGTTCCACGTGTCCACTATTTCTTCTTGATCTTCAGCAGCATCTTCTATCAACAACTCTTAAAACCACTTGGAGGGACTGACTCTTCCTATTGTATGTAGAGCCCTAGCGTAGAGCAGCTGTATGTGTACTTTTGGGTGTAGCTCGGTTTGCTTTTGTTCACACTTTGGGTGTAACCTCTGCCTCCTGTCTCTGTATCTGTACAGGTGAAAGAACAATTTCTGGCACTTTAGTGCTCTATGTGTACACAAATCATCCATAAGTCATCCATTACCTCTGCCACTCTTTGTCAAAGCAAGTTATACACACATAACGTGTGGAAGTGCCACCGTCAGAGTGATTCATCCTGTGTGTACCTTGTGATTGACAGTTACATTCAATAAAAGATGTACAGAAACATTACAGCTTTTTTTCTTTTGCTTCGCAGTGCGAGTAGTCAAACAGGAGTACATGCAAAACATCAAAAGAATTCAGATTTTCTTTTTTATTGTCTTTGATTATGTCTAGGTGTACAAAAAGCATGCAAAAAATAGCTTCTTTATATATATTGGTACATATTTACATTGTAACAACTGCATTCCATAGGGATGTGCCATGCTTCTGTTTTTGTATGAGTGACAGGCGAGTGAGTACATTCAGAGAAATGCACAAGACAACACAAGACAGCAGGCACCTTCAACACACACATCAGGACAGTCACAGAAGATACACAGCAACGATCCAATCGGCCCTGACTGCACATTATGTACAAACTCACTCTCCCACAGTCCTCTTCCTTTGGATATAATTATGACCTGAAATCATGGGAAATTAGTCCTGTCACTCACTTCCTGTGCTGCGACTGTGGCAGCTGCACCCACTGATTTTCCTTCTGTGTTTCACCACAGTGACAACACCAAGCTAGAAATCATTTAGGGTGAGTAATCCTCTGCCAAGGCTGCCCAATCCAATGCATCTGATATTTTCAAAATAGAATGAATATGTGTCAGGATCCAGATCTGAATCAAAACAGTGATCAGAGAATATCTTAAAGTCTACAAGGACGAATTGAGCAAAGAGTCACACAGGTGGCCACTAGGTTGTGGCCATTTAAATGTATCATGTGTTATAGTATCACCTTTAGGCAAAATTAAATTAAATTTAGAAGTCTCAATTAGACTTAATGCAGTATGCACATATGTGGTTGTAACTTCACATTTAGGAGTTAAAACTGGTATACATACATTTTTTAAACGTACCAAATTAAGTGAAGATGGTTTTACAAAAATAAATAAAATTGCAGAAATCTCTGTAGGTGGAAATATGTATGGCCTGATTGACTGACACATCCTGTACTAAGGAATCAGGAAATTATAATTAGCTCAGGAATTACAACATGAAAACATACTGTAAGTTCTTTCTAAATGGCCATGTGATGATGTAATCTGCATTGAAAGCAGGTCTTCCTCAGTTCGATGTCTAATTTCCTACTAAATTGAAATCTGGTTAGAGGTTGTGGATATGCTTAAACTAAGAGATCTACAGAAGAAATAACCCTTGCAGAGATAATAATGTCTATTGAAAAAACTATTAGAAAAAAAGAGCTGGCTGGGCGGCATGAAGACACTGTCCTATGGTTACAGGGTTAAATGTTTCATCTTCAAGGGCAGCTAGTGATCATCCATCACTGTGTCTCTGGAGGAGATCTTGAAAAGAAAGCTGCTATTTCAAGCTGCTCCTGTGCTCTGAGACCTGCTCCTTAAATGGAGTTTACAGTGTTTTAGCATTATGCATGAGTAATGCAATACAATCCGGAAGTCCCTTGCTCCAGTTATACAACATTCACAACTCAGAGTTATTATTTGGATATTCACAACAAACACGACTATTCAAAACCAATCTCATTACTGCAGCTGTTACAGCATTTTGACACAGACAGGAGAATAAATTGCTGGAAAATGAAAACATTTTAGTTTCATTTGTAAAAATGTTCAAAAACCAGGCAGCAATGCTGTGACATGCAGACTGATATCAAAGAGCAATGCTTCAAAAAGTACAGGAGACTGTGACACAGTAAATATGGTCTTTTACAGGTGAACCACACAGTTCTTTCCTTGATCATAAACTGTACAATATTAAATGGCTGGCAGGTACCAGTAGTGTTATATGCAATCACAATAGCTTTAATATGTATCTCAGTGGAAAAGTGCAAATATTTAAATAGAAGCATATTTTTTTCAACAAGGACAACTAAAATACAGATAAGAGGATGAGTGGCCCGCTCTGACAACAGGCACATGAGCAAATAATGATAAAGACGACAACAATATTGCACCTCCGACACTGACAAATGTCTGTACAAAGACACAACTGTAAAGCTGGACACATCTACAACCAAAAAAAATTGTTTTTTAGAAAATAAAACTGAACACACCATTTTATACTTTTTGGTTCAAACAGTCCTTCATTGAAGGTTACCCTGCACACAGACCTCAGTACCTTTGTTCACTTCCATCATCCTCAACAAAGAGAGAAGGAACGAAAACTTTTCATAATTTTTTTTTCAAACGGCATATACAACAACAATCAGACATTAAGATATTAATTTATCCTTTACAAACATATCTTACCACATTTTACTGAACAATTTAAAAAAAGATATAAAGCTTCACATTCCCCAGCCCTCACATGATAATAAAGTTGACAATTTAATGTTAAAAGCATTCATGATTTTTATGCATAAAGTCTCTGCCTCTGTGAACACAAATCCCCAAACACAGAGGCTCAAGCATTCCCCATTCAGATTCTACCAATCATTCTCTCTGAGCTCCATCTAGCATCCTTCACTGGCGGATACTGAGGGCAAGATTAACGGGGGAAATGCAAAACGCTGCACTCCCCGTTTCTAATCAGCCACACTGGGGACGGCACTGAAGTGGATGGGGAAGGGTTGTTATTGTTGGCAGCCTGGGCCTAATTATGACTTTGAAATGCTCCTTTTCACTGTGGTTCAAGTGATCAGAGCACTCTGTCAGCCAATCATGCTTTCTTTCACAGAGCGACACCCCAGGCCAAAGAGGAGGAAAGAATCAAAATGGATTTATATAAACATTTATCTGAGGCCGAGCTGCTGTGGAGGCAGAAATGTTCTCATTGATTTGAGTCTGCGGAGACAAAGCAACCCACACATTGGGCTTTTTTTATGCTAGCCCACAACATTGAATGGAAAATATTTTGTGAACTCGAATCACAAAAAATTTACTTTTCTTTTCCATTCATCCATGTTCCCAACATTTGTGATCTCACATCTTACTCAGCTCTACAAACTTGCATGGCTAGTTGGAACTTCAAAAGGTCAGCCAGGCAAACTGATAGTTGACTAGTTAGGGACTGTATAAAAATGACTGGGGTGGGGAGGGCAGTGAAATTGTATGTTTCAGTTTTAAAGGTTAAATATACGAAATCCATTTGCCACTGGATGTCGCACTAGAGTACCATCATCCCAGACCAAAACAATGGGACCGAAACAATTAATAAACATATAAAATCAAAATAAACCCATAATTCACAGTTAGATGTGAAAATATTCATGAAAAGGTCTACAATGGCCACAAAGTAAGCACTGCCACTGACAGATTGTTGAGTCTGACAACATTATGGAAAGCAGCCCGACTAATATAGCTATCCCTCGCCACCAGACTCCACAGAAAAACAGTGATTCTACCTTGTATGTCATTGTAGCTTCTGGACAAAAACAAAATAAAACTCACAAGAAAACGTCTTTGTTAGTCTTTTCACTGTTTCAGTCTCTACTCAGCTGCACACAGGGCATGTAAACCAACCACAGAGAGGCTGCGATAGCAACACAGGCAGAGGGAGCGTGACTCATTTTCTGCTCAGGAAACTATGACTCCATCATATATTAACATAGCAAATTGTTGTTTGCTGCTATATTTGCTGTACAACCCTTGCAAGTAATAATATTTTATTTGGATGCTATCCTTGACTCAGAACAAAAACCTGCAACATGATTATAATAATAATAATAACAATAACTAAAAAAGGCAATGGGGTTATTTGGGGTGGTTTAATCTTATTTAAACCTAATTGAAATTAAATCGAATTTATATTTCATAAATATATCTTTATATGTTTATAATATATATATATATTTATGGAATATTACATTTTACAATAGCCACTAGGGCACACATTTCCAACGTTATGGAAAACATAACGAAAGGCTGAAATTGAATTATTATATAGGCCGACTTTACATAACACATTGAACTTTTAAAAAAAAAATCTGTTACGATGCAGAAAAATCTGAAGGAGAAAATGACTTTCAGTAGGGATAACATTAAGTGTCATGAGAAAAATGACTCCCTGAAACCGTGACGGGATTGTTGCACACCAGAGCCATTGTTTCTGACTATTTGATGCCCCTTATATATTAATCCTAGATACAGAAATTATCAATGTTTTAAAAAAAAAGACCCTTATCTGCTCTACTACTACCTTCCCCTCAGCAAAAAGGAAACATACATCCTCCCCATTTTCTGACCTGCCCTGCCCCCCTAAAAAATTGTGTAAAGTCCCTAAACCTCGATAACTTCGTACGGGAAGATTCAATTCATTTCCTATTTTGAGTCTGTTCACACTCGCTGTGAAATAACATACACTTCAAAGTGCTCAAGCTTCTGTCGCAATTACATCACACCAAACCAAGCAGTATAGTGTGATATGAAGGAAAGAGAGCGTTAGAGAACAGAAATCATCAGACAAACAACACACTACAGGGAAGAGGAAGCCTGAAATGACTCCTAACACAAAAATAATTACATATCACACAGCAGCAAAAGTAACTTTGAAATGTGTTCAAGCATTGCAAAGCCGCTGTCCTCTCTGTGTGATCACCCTTAGACAGCTGACTTCCTTTCCTTCCTGTCAGAGAAGTTCAACCAGCCGGGCCTGAGGGCAGTGAAGGCAGCGCAGGAAGGACTTCGACCTACTGATGGCACATACACCGGGACAAGGCTGTGAGACGATAACACTGATGACACCTCCAGACATCTAATGTACAATGTTAAAATGTGTCATTGATCATAAATAATAAGTCAATATGGTGTCATCTACATGCTGAAGTGTTGATTATGAAGTTTTTTTCCCCCCTCTTTGTCAGGCTGGCAATGACCGCGACAGGTGGCTATAGAGTCTGATGACCAACTATTCATCATGCAGACGGGTAAAAGAAAAAAAAAGAAACAAGAAAATCTGGGTTTGACAGTTTTTTTCCCACATTGCAGTGTAATACCAGCTGACAAACATGTTCTTGTCTCGCTCCCACAATTATAATTTAAACTTCAGAGTTCCTCTTCCTATCAGTTCACTGATGCGAGTCACAACAGCAAGTGGTTGAGCAGTTAAACACAAGCAACATTGTACATTGCCCGGAGACTCCACATTGGAGAAGGAAAATGGGTGAAGAAAGGATAATCTGAAGCTAACAGGAAGCAAAAAGGAAAGCAAGCCTGAGCATACAAATCTGAATGTTGACACAAACGATATATCAGATTTGAAACCTTCGGTGTATAGAGTGATGCTCCTGTAGTTGTCACTGATTTGAAGGAAATGTGAGAATAAAGGGGTGAGCACACAGTGGTTCAAGCAAAAAGGATGCAAAGCAGACGGAGTTGAAGCTCTGGTGATAGGAGCGTCATTAAGACTCAAGAGGAGGGCTCGTCTTCATGCAGGTCCTCCAGCTCTACTTCTCTGGGTCCATCTCCTGTGCTCCCCTTTCTGAAAGGAGAAGATATAAAAGCAAGAAAGAGAGAGAAAGCAGTAATTAGGAGCAGTTCTTTCTATGATTTCAATCAGGACAACTGCAGTGAGGACAGAGATATCATAGACTATACTATTAAGCTGTATCTCTCCAATGTGGCAGGGTAACCAGAGAAGCTGTTTTCCCCATTTTCGTTACATGATGAGTATTAAAAACACAAAAAAAAAATGCTTTATCAATGTAACACAGCGTTGAATGACAGCAGCAGGGAGATGGCAAAACTCTATGAGATGACAGCTGAGGGAAGGGCTGCTCCATCACTTCTCATGATGGGGATAAGCGAGAGTTAAGGAGGCTAAGGTGATGATGAGCGCAGCAGGCTGGTAGATGTTGGACAGACAGCGTGCCAGACTGTATTGCACAAAGTGTTACCTGAGTGAGGGGTGAAGTTTTAAAGAGGGCCGGAAGGGCCACGAGTCCCTGCAGCAAAGTGGGAGAAAAGATGGAAAAGTCACAGGTGAGCGGGCAAAGGTCACCTCAGGGGGTCAAAGACATAGTTGCTGGTGGAGATGACTTCCCCCATACACACCTCACCTCCTCAGTATGAAGGGTTAGGGCTATGTATGGCTTTAGAATATCTTGGCCTATACTGGTCTGATTTTGACCATTCTCTCTTAAATTTGTCACTTTATGATCCCACAGCTGTATGGAAGTGCAATCACTGATACCCATTTAACTGCTAACAGGAACACTAATTAACAGCATTAATGAAACCTCTTTGTAATAAAATATGATATCTTGGCATACATTAAAGATGTGATCATGGTCAGGCTGATTAGTACACTAACCCTCACAACGTTTCTCTCAAGTAAGGCCACATTACCCATAAATCCTTTTACCTTCTGTCACAAAAAGGATATTACTTGCCCCGCCCTCCCTGCCATGATTGTGCCTGTTGCTGCTTTCTCTTTCACTTTTCTTTGGATGAAGTGGCAGTATTTTGCTAACTGCTAAACACTAGTAGACATTCATTTCTTCCACCTATCATTCAGAGAAATGTTTAAGGCTTTGGCAGAGCGTCACTTGAGGCTCTCAGAGGCTGCCATGTCGTTATGGATGGTCCCACATGTGTACATTAATATGTTTCAAAAATTAAAGGAGTTGGTAAGGGTCATTGGTTAAGGGCTTTTTTATAGTCCTCCCATCATTCATATAGAGCTCAAGAATCAGAATCAATAAGCAGCACACAGACTTAATCTGTCAGTCCAAGGCTTCATGCTACTGTTAATTACAAAAGCTTTGGTGTTTCATTATCCAGCAGGGGGCAATGTTGCTTTAATCTCCCTCCACATTCTCTGGAAACACCTTCACTTTAGATAGCAGTTCTGTGGCTGCTTAGAGTATAACAGGGGAAACCTCAGCATAGATAGAGAAGAAATCATCCAATAAAAGCCTCACAATAGGAGATTAGAGTCTAGTCCACAGTCAGTGCTACAGTGGTCCATCTTCATAACAAAGTCTGCTGGACACACAGCACAGATTACTGTCCCAAGGGCACCCACCGAACAGCAGGGAACAGCTACAGATGCTCCAGTTTGCCCTTGGCTGTACTGTGTATGTTGAAATTGCCATGATATGATAAGACAATTGCCATATCCCCTGTGATGCGTTCAAGCCTTGTAAAAGAAAATCCAAGGTCAGCCTGAGGCATTAGTGGATCTGTAGCATTCTCTGTCACTCTGAATCCTTCTACCCTTGAAAGCTGAATGCAACACATAAAGAAACACTTATAAAAGCTGTAAGCTCCACTGCATTCAATGAAATAATAAATGATGGTGCTATGGCAACCCAAAGCAGCAGCTGCTGCTGCTGGAATGAATGCTAGTTAACCTGATACAGCAGAAAGAGGAGACAGGTGTGAAGTACTGATCTATGCCAGAATCTCAAGCAATCTCTGCAATTAGAAAGGGCCTATGTGGCTTCATTTTTGGTTTTTGTCTTCATGGATAAGATATGCAAGTTTTAAGAGTGGAAGGGAGATCAGGACATGACTGTGTGTGCTTACATTAGCAGGCTGCCAGGCGCAGACATGGACCTCTCCTCTCTCCTGCTCGGACACTCAAAGGGGTTGCTGAAGGAGCGCTTCCTCAGCATGGCTCTTACCAAGATCTGAAACATTCACAAACACAGAATGGGTCAAAATACACACAAAAGGTCCCCTTTTTGTTTTGAGCCTGTGGTTCTGCACAGAGAATACAGCAGTTGGATTTTAATAAGGTGCTGGATGATTTTGCACAGACACTGGTGAGGTAGGACTTAGTGACAGCTGATAGACGTGCAGACTGATGGCTTTGGATGGAAACGCTTGTTATGCTTATCATATATTGTTTTCACAGTCCCCTGCAGCTGAAGTAATACTGTTATATACATTGATACTAGTTTGTTATTGGTGAGACTAGCTATTTACACTGCAGGTATTTGAGGGAACACATCTAACACACAGGATATCTTGTGTCTGGTATATTTTAATGGCAAACAGCAGGAAGGGTCACACATGCAAATGTAAATATCCAGTAGTGGGGGCTTCTGTGCTTTAAACTTGTTCCAGCAGACAGGAATTTCATACTAACATTTTTTAATGCTAATATTTTTTTTTCTGCTAACAGGCTTCTATGCTTTTAACCTGTGCTGCCATTGATGGTTGAGGACCCACTCAGTTCTTTTATTACTACCTGCAAGAGCAAATCTTTGCTGGTCTTGGGTAGCTGCTGTTCTCACTGTCTAGATAAAGCCGACAGATATTTAGAACATGAGGCATGTAGTATAAAAGTGCCACACACAAATTCAACTCTATTATATAAGCTGACTGATTTCCTCCATGTTTTTTTTATTTATAAATACTATAAGCTAATGTGGTGAGCACAAAATACAGAATGAAAACATTTTGTAGTGCAGTCTGCATCTCTCACTGTTGTTGACTAGTGGATCTTGACCTATGCAACATGGTGGCCTCGCAGACATACAGTGGCGGCACACAGCAGCGGCCAATGAGGTATCTATGTTTCTATTTCTATTCAGGGAAGCTGTTCCTTAGCATTGTGTGTTATAGTTTTCATGAATAATACCTGCAACTACTACTGTTCTGTAGAAATGGGTTGAAATATTGGTCAGATACACACTATTCAAACTGGGACAGCGAAGAGGTTTTTTTTGTTTGTTTTTAGATTTCAGAGTTCAAGAGGAAACCTTGTCCTCCATAAAGGGGAACAAGGCTGCCTTCCGAAATGTAAAATCAATCTGTATGGCTGGAATTTGTCACAATTACGGTTAAAAGAAGAGTTGTTAAGGAGCAGCTTCTCTTAGGGCTTCACCTCTCCTGGAAATGAAAAGCTTAAATGTTTCAATTTGACACAAAAGTGCTTGTTAAATGAAGGGCGCTCAGGTTCCTTACCACTGCAGAGAGGCTAGGGACGAACTTGACCGAGTTCTGGATGTCCTCCTCTGTCACCTCCACCACAGAGCAGTGCTCCTCCTCCAGAGGCAAGGGGTCAGTGCCTCCCTGGGTCACCCACTGGTCCATCTAAAAACACACATACAGACAGACATGGCATGACATATGACAGTGTCATTACATGAAGACCTGTCTATAATCTACTGAATCTGTGATCCGCAGTCGGTAAGGTACAACCATTTGCAACATTATAAGAAGTCTGTTTAACTCTGTGTATTGTTTCATGTTTCAAATGCCCCAAACGGTGACTGCAGGTTTTATTCATGATTTAGCCCTTGTACTGCACAGCAGGCATATTTTACATTATTTCTGAGGATTTCCTAAAGCAAGGGATACTGTTTAGATTTATACTTTTCTACCAGCCAGGCGGACATCTGTTTTGATTAATAATGTTTTGCTCCATAAACCCATCTGCAAAAGTTGCTTAAGACAGACAATCCATCACAGTGATCAACCAGCCAGAGTTTATTTCTGTCAAAGCTACTTCACAGTGGCTCACATCGATTAAAAAGTATAAGACTGACGTTGTTATATTTTATTTTATTAATTTATTTATTATTTTTGTTTGTTATTGTCAGTCAGTCTCTCAATACTGACTTCTACCAGCCCTGTGTCAGCCCATTCATTCCTGCTTTTTCTAAAAAAAAAGGCTCAGTAATTTCTTAAAATAGCTAAATAGTGCTTTTGTTGGTAACCATTATGCAATGCAGATTTGGCGCTCTTGTTGGTTTTGGGTCTTTTAATTGAATTAGCTGACAAGAAACATATTGAGTATCTCCAACCTTTAAAATGCCATGGTGCATTTGTGTGCTAGGTGGAAGGCTTTGAAATCCAGGACTTCCAAGATGACTACAACATTTGAATGCTGTTTTTTTGGAAATTCTAACTCAAAACAATAATCAACCATTAACATTACAAATGATATTGCTGCTTCTTCAGAAAATTTCAATATGTATTTAATATCTCAGTCAATTATTCCCACAGCCCAGAAACACCCAAGAAGATCTGTTTCAAATTAGTGAGCATCAATTAGACATTAATGAAAAGAATGTATACAGGATGCTTAGATTGATGGGTAACCTCCCTAAAGCAACTTTCAAGTCTCTGGAAGTTTATATTTCAAAAATCAAAAGTATGTACATTTAATTGCATCTCATTAAATTGTTACATTTCAGCTTCTCAGTGTTTTTTTGTTATCTCTACTGACTTTAAAGGGTTTGTGTGTGAGCATGTGTGTGTGTGTGTGTGTGTGTGTTTGTGCACAAGGGTACACATGATGCCTGACAGCCTAATTATCTTTTGTTCAATAAACACAAACTGAGTCTCTGGTGAGAAAATGACTCACTGACACATGATTAGATTGTGTCATAGAAACACGGTGGGGAGTAGGGAATGACATGTGTCTATGGCTGGTCCAGGACTTCCCTGCCCCTCTACAGCTGACTCAGTTTTAGTGCAGTCCTCCATAGAGACAAACATGTTTCATCATGTCCTAAAGTTACACGGCATGTTAAATGCACTCTACTGTAATGTACTGCAGTGAGGTCAGACTCTTCTGAGCCAATCACAGGAGAGCACAGCACAGTCATGTTGTGTGAACATGACCAACTTTATGATCATGCTCAAGTTATCTGCATGTCATCCTAACCCCTGGTCTCGTTTGCCACCTGCTCTGTTCTCTGTGTTACCTTGATCTCAGGGATGGTGATCCTGGTGTCGGGGTTCTTGTCCAGCATCCGCAAGATCAGAGTCCGCAGCTCTTCACTGATCTTTGGTCTGCACGAAACACAAGATAATGATTTCGGGACATTTTTTGGAGTCTGGCTTGGTTGTACATGTGTTACATGATGAGAACATGGACACCAAAGTTGTACATGTCTATTATATTACTTATATATATATTATATCATATGAATGGCAGGCTCAGTGGTCACTGATTTCCTACAACAGTGTTTCCAAACCTTGTGACCACACAAAAATATGAATGTCTATTCTAAAGCCCTCATCACAGGTATGTTTCTGATCTGTGAGAACTTCAAAAACAGTGACTATGCTTTCTCTAATAGTTTCATTTCAATCTTTTTTAGAGGCCATAAGGTAAGCTATCCAGGATTTCACCAAGAAAAGAGCAAAGACATTTTCCTTCATTCATTCAGCACCTTCACATTTTCTGTGATTCATAAAGATTCCAAAGTGATAGATTTGGTAACAGGTATCAAATGAAAAGACTTCAGAGCTACAGAGGGCTCCTAAGGCTCATCAAGTCAGTTGATGTGACCAACAGAAGAAGCGGCTGCACTTTCCATATATTCATATTTATTTATGCACTGATCAGCCATAACATTATGACCATCTGGTGCCCTGGCAGTCGTAATGTTATGCAGCCCCATACGCAACAAACTGTGATGAACTGTGTGTTCTGACACCTTTTTCTGACACCACTTTTGATAGGTACTGACCACTGCAGACCGGGAACAACCCACAATAGCTGCAGTTTTGAAGATGCTCTGACCCAGTCGTCTAGCCATCACAATTTGCCCATTTTCCCTGCTTCTAACACATCAATTTGAGGACAAAATGCTCACTGGCTGCCTAATATATCCCACCCACTTCATGTACATTTTAACCACATCTATAGCACTATAAAATGCAATAATTATTACATTAACTTAGCTGTCAAAAAATAAAAATATTTTAATTCATAAATACATGAATTATTTTAGCTCAACCTCCTTGTTGACTGTTTTCAGACACAAGTAAAGCAAGGAGAAGGATATTTATCTCCTGTGCAGTTAGCTATTGTGTTAACTGGGAACTGGAAGAAAGTTACCAACGTCCCTAAACTTTATGTGGTTTCTGATGAAGAAAAAAACTGGCAACTGAACTGAAAACAATGCACAATGACTCCCAGCCAGGGCCGCTTGTGCCCCAGGGGGTAGTTCTGCAGTTGCTTTGGGGTACGTGGGAGGATTGTGGAGTAACTTGTGATTGAGAGTGTGTGAAAACCATACTGTCAATGGTGAAAACTAGTTAGCAAGATAGCAGAGAAGTTGTTAGCTAACAGTGATGGATAAAAACAGTTCAAATAGCTAAAAGGACTGGACAAACAGCTGAAATAGTTACATACAAGTTATGGATACATAGTATTAGGCTAAAAGTAGCCTAAAGTAAGGGATAAACACTTCAAATAGTTAGAGCCTAATGGATAAATAATATTAGGCTAAAGATGGCCTAATAGTTAGCTGAAAGTAATAGATAAATGGTGGAAATAGCTAAAATGAACAGATAAACATTTGAAATAGTTAGCTAAAAGTAATGGACTAACAGTTAGTTCGTTAGCTAAAAGTAATGTATAAATGGTTGTAGCTAAAATTTGAAATAGTAAGCTAAAAGTAATGGGTTGTGGAGTTCATTTGACAAAGGGTGGAATTTATAGGACATTTCTTTCCTATTGGCAATATCAATGATTCATTTCACTGGCTGATGAAATGAAATAAAACAATGTATCATAGGATTAGTATCTCAGTAAAATACGTTTATGTGAGTTCAGCCATTGATCATTATGACAGTGGCAACATTAAATGAACTACACCTAAAGCATAATGGGCCTATTAGAGCTGACAACAAGTCAGTCCAGTGTGGAGATGATTCCATTAGATGTGATTTTCCGTTCAGGAGGAGGATGATGTTTAATGAACAAGCTTTTCGCACAGTGATGTCTCTTGAGCCCACTGGGGTAAGACACTTATCATTAACAATATGACACCCTGTCCCGATACGTACTCCAACTGCCACTCTCAGCCCCTTCACATTTGCAGTGTTTATACTTCATCAGTGTGTTCCCTCACTCTATCACCACTGCCAGCCTCTTTCTGGCTTCCTAACTCTTGTTCTCTCTCTGTTTTTTCAGTGATATTCACTAAAGAAGACATCCATGTTTTTCTTTAACCTTTTATGCAAAGGAATAACAGTGGCTTTCGCTGTATGCGTCCTGTATGTGTGTGGGTGACATTTACTGTGCTGGCAAAGGCTGCTGTGCAAAGCTATTCATATTTTTGTAGGGGCAATTTGTAACTGAAAAAAAGAAGAGAACGTTTTTTGCGACTGGGATGCAGATGAGAAGATAGCAAACAGCGAAGGCGTTGACAACAGCTGTGGTCTGGAGGTGGCTGGAACATCAATGCTGTCTTTTTTAATAAAGTGGCTGAGAGTGAAGGACGCAGGAGATGTACTTACGTTTCTGGGAAATCCACAAGCTTGGTCCTTATCTTATTGTGCAAGGCCAATATGTACTCATCAATAAACGGGCACTGCAGGTGGAGCAGAGGAAAGACAGTGAAAAACACAAGGAAGGTACATTGAATTAATACAGTATCCCTAAAGTCACATAACAACAGCAGCAATCAGCTTCAAGCATGCATTCAAATAAATGATGCCACTAGACAACTGCCTTATCAAATATGAAAGATTGGTGTTAGATAGTGTTCCTACTGAAGTGCTACCGGCTGCTGTTAACAAGCATGGGAGTCAGTGAAACGAGCACTTATCCCAGCTTTAACTGTTACCTTTTGTGCACCAGATGTTGATAAGTGACTGGGAGACAGAAAATGTGCAGACTTACCTTCCCAAAGACAAAACAGTAGAGAGTAACTCCCATGGCCCACACGTCCAGCGCCTTTAAGAAAGTGCATGTAGTGACAATAAATGAAACATATAGACAGACAGACCGAAAAGCATGCATTTAGAGACATGCTGCAGTGATCCAAACACTTATTTGCATGAAGATAATCAGTGCAGACTGCCTACAGTGATTTATGGCACATTTTAATGTTATTTTTTGGGAGACCGTCAGATACCATGGCGATGGATGTGTGTGATCAGATAGAGGCACCGCAGCTATCCATCAGGCTCTTTGTCTTCCTCGCCGCCTCTCTCTCTCTCCCTGTATGAACAGGTCTCCTAGAAATCCATTTCTATTCCTTGATAGATATGAAATGATAAAACTTGCCCTCTGAACCTGTGTAATATACCTGAATGCCACAGGCATTTGTTATCAGACGCAGAGCGTGACTAACATGTTCTAACTGGGACTGACAGCTGAGGGGGTTTAAGTGACACTTGAGTGTCCGAGATTAAATATTTCACTGCTGATGTACACCAAAATCACAAATGTTGGTGCATAAGGGACACCAAGCTGTCTGAACAAATCCAAATCAGGAAGAATACAAGACTAATCAGAGACAGTGGAGCCAGTATGACTGCATATATTTCTTGAAAGCTTGAGGACACAGCAGGCAGAGGCACTTGAACGCCTCTTACATCCTTTCTATCTGCCCCTATTTTATGGATATACAAGGTCCTTCCTTGAGCAAATCCATCAGCCTGCCATAGCTGATAACCACTGGAGGAATGAACGTGACCTGTACCCATAATGTTGGATAAGCACAGGATGTCAGGGTTGAGACCTGGGGCAGGAATGGGAAGGTTCTTGGCTGTTAATTGTTTGTAAATGAGCAAGTAGGGTAGATTGACAGGCCTCATTAGATCTTGCATGCTGGAAGAATGATGGAGGAATTACGTCAATTGGTAAGGCAGGTGGTGATCAAAGCAATTGTTATTGAGAAGTGGCAGGTTATCCTGACAAACATGACTGATCATTGCTTGACGGTATACAGTATATTGATGTGAAACATTCCCACATCAGTACCAGGTATGTAAAACCAATAGGCTTATTGCATTTCTTGACTCTGGTCACGGTGCTCTTCTCGGCTGTATTTCTGGCTTCCTAGTTATTAGTACCAGCTAACACACAGGGGAATGACAGTTTGCTCCATGGATTAGCAGGCCGGCATAGGTCTGAAAACTCATCTTGGTTTAATGGTTTTCATTTTCAAGTCACGAGGGTAGGGTTAAGCCCAGATAAAGCACTTCACATTGGTGTATGAACAAAGAGTTAACTCACCTTTCCACTGAAGCTCTTTCGTGTGTCTGACAGGGTCTCTGGTGCCATAAATGCAGGAGTGCCAGCAGTGCTGGACAGCAAAGCATCATTGCCCTCAAACTGGTTGCTGACCCCAAAGTCTGCGATCTTCACGTGTCCATCGTCTCCCAGTAACAGGTTAGAAGGCTTGATGTCCCGGTGGACTATCTTCTGGTAGTGCACTGAGGTTAAGAACGAGGAAGTAAATAGTCAGATTTGTAGAACTATTGCGACCTCTAAGCTGACAGCATCCTGATGATTTTTTTATTCTTGGACCCTCCCCTGTAGTGGGGCTGGAAAACAACATCTTTACAAGTTGTACTTTTTGTTTCAGGAGAAGATTGCAGAGAGCATTTTTGTTTAAAAAAATGCACATGGAATAAATCATGACTATGGCAGTTAAATCATTGTCTGGATAATGGGAATGGTGTATAAATGTCAACTTAAGGTCATCTAAAACTGAAAGTGAAGTACATCTCTAAGCCATAACACTTAACAGCTGTCTGGAGCAAAGCCCTGGACACTTCACTGATTGGATAAGTGGTGCCTTCCTGTCTGAGGAGGTCCTATTAAAACATGAAGCACTTGACTTATTATAAGCCCTTGGCAATTAAACATCATGAGCACTGAGAAAAAAAACAAAAAACACACGACGTCAATGGCCTACAGAATGACTACTGATATCTATAATTTAGGGTGTAGAAGACATTCTATTTTATTCAGTTACTTACACTTGGACACAACTATCATGTTAGAGTTCATCAAGAGAAAATCAACAGTGACTACATTGGGGAGTTGTTATAGAGAATTCAATATTAAATAACTGAATGGTACAATTATCTGTGTGAATAAATTGTGTAAAATATAGAAATGAAACAATAATTTGTAATTTGTAATAAAGTAATAGTAATGTAAGTAATTTAAGAATTATTAAATGTTATTTCATTATTCTTATTTTTAGAATGAGTTTTATAGTTCTGAATTTTTATTTCTGTTTAGAAATGTTTATTTCCCAATGATGGTGGATATTCATACCACTTTTTATTTCATAATATCACAGTGGCATTGTCTCCGCCCCCTCATCTTTCAGCCAATCAAGTGCCCCCTGTCTGTTGCTAGCAAGCTCAACAATGCTACCATATTTAGCCATTTAGCTCCTGTTAGCTAGAGCAACAGCACCAAAGTCATTCTGAATCAAACGTTTAGCTCGTGCTGTAAATTAACACAATCTGCCACCACAGAAACTAACATCTCATTTTATATATTTAGCTTAACAAGACTGCACATGCTACCTCCCTAGCTGCCTAACTAGCTAGGAGGGGTGGCTTGCATTATTACTCAGCCGTGTTAATGGCAGCAGCTTCATCCAGAGTTATATCAGCCATGTTTCCCAGAGTTATATCAGTCACATTTGGTTTCTAAAAATGTCTGAAGACGCTCAACACTGTGCATTCTCTGTGGTCACTCAGGCCAACAGGACCTCGCTAACAGTGCTAACAATGACTCTTCACTTTGAAGCTAAAGTGGTAACTGGTGTACTGTGTTTCTTTGCAGCAGCAGCATCTACTTGGTTGACTTTTGAACACTTTAGGGTCCCATAGTTTTAGTCACCACAATTTTGGTTTGGCTCATAGTCAAGTAGTCCACGGTTGTATTTTTCAAGAGGGACAGCTATAAAAGCCAAGTGGTTAAAAAAAAATTACTTTTTAATCAGAAGAACCTGGTTCATCCACTCTGCTGAAGTGCCCTTGAGCAGGAAATGTAGCCGAGCCCAACTCTAACCTATGACTCAGGCGATGTAAGCACTCAAAAACATTAATGTAAAAGTGTATAGGGATTTAAAGTGGTGTAATTTTGTTGAACTGTTGAAATGTATAAACAGTATGTGGCTGAGTTTCTATAGCTTTATTTTCAAGATGGACCTCAAAGTTCAGACGGAGACGGCATTGATCCCTAATCATTAGGCTCATAGCCCAGGGAAATAGATCTGGTACAGCAAATGAGGACACAGTTTGAGAAAATCTGTTTCACTGAACAAAGGCTCGATACTGATCTGCAGCCAGACCCCAGGGGCATGGAAACAGAGGGTCAAGACACTTTGTTCTTTTATATAAAAAAGGAAAATGCTACCATATCTTCTTTTCCTTTTTTTCAAGAGTAGTGAGAGAGAATACTGTTGGAAAGACACAGTGGTCCAAATGTTTTAGCTTATACAGTATCATAATGGGGACGATAAAGACTGACATCTTTAGAAACAGAATATCTAATGCTTTCCTGGCCACTGGAAACACCCATAAAACTGCATGTGGCTCTTTAAGTGGGAGTGGGGTGACAGAGATTTAAAATGAGTAAAAATGTATGAATTAGTTTCACTGAAACGCTTCCCAGAAAGGTTTTTACAGACCCAAAGGCTAACCCTACGTGAGATACTTACGGTACTCTATGCCCAGGATGACGTCTCTGAAGTATAACCTCGCCTGCTCTTCTGACAGAGGGTTGTCTGTGGGCACTTCCATTACTGGACTGCAAATCCACAAAGGCAGGCAGAAGAACAAAGAGACACAAAGACGAGGCAGACAAATCCACAGATTGAGTGTACCAGTTGTTTCATTATTAGCACAGAGATGTAATTCCAAATGGGAAGACACTGAAACGTCTAAGCAGACATACACGTCCTGATCAAACATCACTGATACTCAAAAGCTGCGATAAAGACCGTCTTTGTATATAGATCCCAAACCCGACAGCACCAATTTCCATCATTGATCGATGTCTTTTCAGTAAAACTTATTTTTACTCCCATCCCCATGTAGAAGAAGTATGTTAACGTTTAATAAATGCTATTAAAAGATATTTGTATTTATAAGCAGATTTAACAAGTTTTTTACACTATCTTACAATATGAAACAATATAACTATTAATTTTTCAACATTTAAATGAAAATTAAAAATTACAGTATGCATAGAGAGAATGGCAGCCATAAAATATATATTTATATATTAGCTAATCACAGTTTCACAATGTTTTATATCAAATGTAATACTTATTTAAACATTTAAAAAACATTTTTAATCTACTGATGATTGATAACACAATCACATCACATATAATCAATTACAAGTATTGTATTAAGCATTCACTAACTGTTTATATATAATTTATGAACACTTCATAGGAGGACAACAAATATGCTTACAAATACACTACAGTGTTATATTGTGTGATTTAAGCAATTTATTGATTTTTAATATATTGCTTATAATTATGACAGAGAAGGGGTCTCCAAATTCAATTGTCACAACAAGGGTTAGGGTTATAGGTGGAATTACAATTTCAAGTCAAAACCCATTTCAGCTTATAGCAGTATTTATCAAAGCACTCCAGTAGCAATGCATAGCAAAAGCAGTCATAGTACTGGCACTAGTAGTACTGAAGTAAGAGGTGGTAGAGTTAGTTGTAATAGTACAGCAGCATTAGCAGCAGTAGCTGTAGCTCTACAAGCAGTTGTAGCAGTAGCACTTTGGATTCCATCCCATGTATAAAAATTGAATAAATAAATGGTTTATGAGTAGTAGAAGCCATATTGTATTAATCAGCCCATCTGTCTATCATCACATCGCATCCTCACTCTTTATCATCATGAAAAAGCTAACAGAGCATATCTTCCTATTAAAAGAAGAACATAACTTATTTATGCACATGTGAAACGATACCAGCTACTCCCTCCCACCTCCATTCGCTTATAATAACAAAAGGTCTCAGATCATTAGATCATCACAGAAGTAGGAAGGAACAGCTTGTGCATCAGGACGTGAAACACTTACACAACTGGCTGCCACCCGTAATAACTGTGAAAACCTAAGAACATTACGAATCCCTTTGAAGTCTGAGATGGAACAAACACCCTGCATTGTGTCAGCTTGGAGTAATGAAGGAGAACACTGCAGACACCGAAGCAGGAACCGAAGGATGGGGAGGTGAAGGTAGAGGAACAGAGGGGATGAGCCTTAAATTATTAAAAAAAAAAAGGACATGTTCTCTACTCACCCCTTACGCATCAGCTCAAACACTGTCAGAAGAAGGGAGGGAGAAGGAAATAAGTTCATGTTCAGACCAAGCAATTTATTCTTTCATTCATTCAGCTGGGGTTTGACCACTCCTGCCATTGAGACCCTGCATGGCATTATTCATTTACATGAGCATTGAATGAGCTGGATGTGCCACATTAAGAGCATAAAGAGTTTGACGTTTCACACTAACAGGCGTCCTAGCTGTGACCTGGCACTGCTGATGGAAGATTTCTGCATAATGTGTGAACCCTGAGGGGATGGGGAAGGAAGCAAGAGATGGTCTGAATAATGAATCAGTTATATGGACACTTGTTGGTGGCATATGTGCCGAGTGCCAAAGGCTGAGAGCGGGCAAAAATAGGGTGAAAGATTTGGACAAAGAAAATATGGTCTGCATACCCATGTGAAGGTTGTCCTCCGCTGGATCATCCAGCACCTGCAACATTAACATAATCATCATAAATGGAGAGTTTCCAGTGGAAATCTTCAGGGTCCTATGCGGTACAGGTACAGGTGAAGAATCTACCTCCCTCTGTAGAATTTATCTACAGAGGGAGGTAGTTCTCTTTTACGGAGTATGCCATGTTTCTACAGTAGCCCAGAACGGACAAACCAAACACTGGCTCTAGAGAGGGCCTTTTGCAAGTTATAAGGCCACCATAGTTCGTCCTACACACTTGGAAGGCTGGGCTGTATTCAGTTGGTTGCAATGTGCAATTGAACAGCTAGATGCCACTAAATCCTTTCCCTAAATCCCTAAAACTAGATTTTGGACCCACCCCAACAGTCTGTTTACAGGTCTTAGGGAGTGCTACTGCGCGTAGACTACAAGTTTAAAAATGAAAATTGAATTTAAATTACCACAGTGAGGGTAAACGTCAGTACACAAAGTACTGGAAAAACAAGGGCAGGAAATCGCCTCTAAAGCAACAGGGACACTATTTACTCAAGTCAGTTGTAACGGCCCACGAAACAGTCAATAGGTGAATGTTTGCTCATACTGTCTAATATGTGTTTGCTTAAAGATTCCCATCAGACACCTATTAAGACATATACAGTATATACAAAAAGTCTGCTTGGAACAACAACTTTGTGTTTTTTTCCACTTCAAATTCCTTAAAAAAGCATCAACTCCTCCTATCTCATTAAGAATTCAGAATATTTGAATATGCTAATTATATTTATTATGTTCAGTTACCTGCTGGACACAAGATGTCTCCTACTTCACTGTAAAGCCCATTCTCAGTGGATGTGCCCTGGTGGCTTCAGGTTTCTACATCACACTGTAGAAACTGCCAATTGGACCAGGATTCTGACTATTTGTGATGTCACAAATCGTGCTTGCTGACCCCACCCCTTAAAAATCAGATCTTCAATGTTCCAAGTAAAAAGGCTATAAACAGTAAATGAGCTGTTCTGTGCAAAGTGCAAACCATTAGCAGCTTAGCAGTCTTATTTGTAGCTGTTGACTAATGCAGCGACTAAGATGCATTAAAAGGGTGTCTTGGCTTACGGGGAAATGGCATAAATTGAGTTTGGGAAGTGTCTGTTCTCATAACAACTGCATGCCATGGTGAGTATGGGGCCGGTTTTACTTGCTCCCAAGCATCTGTAACAAATGACCATATCACTTTCATCAGTTTTAATCTGTTCCACTCGGCGTCTGCTTTAATGTTTCAAAAAAAGAGAAAAGGTCTATTCATAATTAGATGGAGTGGACTGCAGCCTCACAGGAATCAGTTGGAAACCCATAATGAATGTGATCCTGACCCAAGCACAGCCCATTTAAATGGATGAACAGAGAGAGCTGGAGAGGAGGAACGCAGGTTTTCCCATTGCCCACATATGCCCATTATGAGTGTGAGAGTGAGGGCGGACAAAGACAGGAAGAGATGAGTGTGTGTATCTTCACTGCCGGAGCGAGCAGAGGAGCAGAAGTACTTGGCTTTTACTTAAAAACTCTTCTATATTTCTGGCACACTCTACACTCGAACAAGCCAGACAGCTTTCCTACTGACTGACTCCCAGAGCCTAACTCCCGACCATGGCGGTGGTGCCCCTGCCATCTGGCCAAGGTTGAAAAACACTCCGATAATATCACAAGGGAGCGGCGGGCATCTTGAGTCATGTCTTCTCAAAATCGGCTATCATCTTTCATAAACAACCGCCTCTGTAGAAACTGAAATCTATCCATCTTTAAAATTCCCAAACTCAGTTTGAGAGCGTCGGCTGTTGTGAACAGAAGAATCTATTTACAGGGTGGGGGCTTTGTTTTTCCTGCATAAACATCAAAAAGGTCCAGTGACATAAGTGTGATAGATGTGCTGGAGGGTAAACCTATCTCATTTTCCCCACCTGTTTCCTGCCAGCACAGGGTTTTAGCCACCTTTTTGGTCTGACATAAACTGATATGACATACAGTAAATACAAAGCATGAGTCAGGGTACACAGCAAGAAAGGTTATCTGAAGATAAGGATAATCCTGATCACAATGGATTTAAAACCTGTTGTGGATGTCCACATGCTATTATCTGAGAAACAGTCCTAAAATGACACATTTCCCTACTGCAAGATGCTTCAAATATTCATAAAATATGCATAGGTATGTTTTCATTAGTGTATAATCACCTGAAAATATGAATTGTTGAGAAATATAAAGTTCTCATTAATGGATCTAAAAGGACTTTAAAGGATCAGTATATAGGGTTTAGTAGCATCTACCAGTGAAATTGGAGATTGCAACCAACTTGAACACCACTCGCGTTCCAAGTGTGTAGGAGAAACTATGGTGGCTGCAAAACTTGCAAAAAATGCAAAAGGACCTATCTATCTTGCCATTGTTTGGTCTGTCTGTTCTGGGCTACTGTAGAAACATGGTGGACTACGTAGAAGAGGACCCACTTCCTCCGTAGATAAAAATAGTTAAAGTAACAAATTTTTTTTTTATTATTTTCAGGTGATTACACACTAATGAAAACATAGCTATAAATATTATATTCCATTTCTGCCGATAGATCCTCCTAAATGTTACACACTGCACATTTATTTGGCTCATAATTGCCTAATTGGTGAGGATGGGTACTTCTATTTGTGCTGGTATTGATTTATAGTTCTCAGCCTTAAATATTTGTATCTGCCTTAAGGACAGTAATGTGATCACCGAATGATGTCGACACAGTATTTCAGACTGGACCCAGGTGGTGGACCAACAGACTGACAATAGCATCCTTAGTGCTCCGCTGATAGCATAGCTAAAAACTGTAAAGAGCACATTCTTATCAAAGCATGCTTAAACCTCGTCAATGCCTATACTTATCAGGATAACATTGACAGTTTCAAAAAAGTAGTAATGTTGGTAAGTCTTACATCAATAATAGGACCGAAGAATTGGTTGCTTACTGAATGCAAACGCTGCAACCATTTACTGCTTTGTGTGATGCTCTCACCTCCACCAGCTTCACAATGTTGATATGGTCCAGTTTTTTAAGGATTGCAATCTCTTGGTAGACCCTCTCCAGGGGTCCTAAGATTTTGGGCTGCTCTCCTTGGGCTGCCTTGGGTCCTCTTGGGGGTGGGCGACCTGTAGGCCACACACACACACACACACACACACACACACACACACACACACACACACACACACACACACACACACACACACACACACACCTTTACTAAATTATTCATTTGGTCATGATTTTTGACAAGTAGTCTGATCCAGATCCTCTATTAAGCATCAAGAAAATGACATAAAATTGAGCAATGATTGATACATATAGAACATGATGAGCTATACATGTGGCAGGGGGATTGTATGTATTAAAGCTGTGGGTTGCTTCTGTTTTGTGTGTGCACCTATGTGTTATCATTTCGTTTGTATGTGGCATCGGTAATTGTCAATGACCAGGCAACAACTCGGTACCAGTCAGTGTTGGCATAATGGACCGCAGATATGCCTATCCTATCTCTGATCTGTAGCTCTCCAACCACCACCTCCTGACAGTGTGAGATATACACACAAGGCCAGACACTGTCCAGTGACTGACATTAGGGATGATGGTGCACTTAAATGTGCCTCTCACTTACATCAGCACTGATGCAGAGTGTCCCACCCTCTGTCTAAGACCTGCCTACGCTTCGTGACCACACTGCACCTCGCGAGGCTTTTTATATGCCATATGCTTATGTTTTCCTCCATCCTCCATCAGGATCAGAGAACTCTGCTGGGGTGGTTCCATTTACACACGTATAGTTTTAAATATAGTTTTTAATCTCTGCCGATCCCCATTAAGCTAAAGCAGGATTTATAACAGCAGAAGATTTTTCTCCAATCAACCACCTCTTGGGATTAAGGATAATATCTTGAGTTAAAAAGAAAGTTTCTGAATGCTGTTAGACTAACTGTTGCCTGACACAATTATGAAACTTCAAGGTGCGACAAAATAACACTACAAGAAAAAAGGATGTTAAATTTAAAGTAACCACCATTGCTGCAAAACTTGGTTAAGTTACATGCAAAGCAGTTTCCTTCAGCCCCAGACATTGTTTATATGCTCATCATGACTGTAACTGTAGTCTCTCTCACATGGCAGTGTTAGTAATGTGATTATGTTACTTCTTAGTTAACATCCTTTGTAAACACTCATACAGACATTGAATTGTGTGAGTGTCTACACGACCAAATATGTCTCATCCAATGGTGTGGGTAACATGAAGTGCTGCTACTCAACAATAGACAAGTGTGCTGGTCTAAAGAAAGTCCAGGAAGGTATCAAGTGGGTTTATCTGTTATTAGATGGAGGTATGGATCCAGCCCAAACTGACAAACCTCCATCTTTCTCTTTGGTTTATTTCCTTCACCTTACTTACTTTTCTTAAACTTCATATTAGTTGTGATTGCCCATGAATCATGTTGTTTTCTCAAATGTCTGGTTCAACAGAATAAACAGAATAGAATATTACTTACGTGGAAAACCACACTGCTTCATTAACTTCTTCTTGGACACCACCTTCATGGCCTAGGAAAGTGGAAAATGATTTCAATCATACAGCACATTCACATACAGCCAGTGTTAACAGGAAAGTGAAGCCTGTATATAGAAGCATTTATCAATCAGAGAAGAAAACAGAACTAGACCTGTATGTGAACATACCAATATAAAAAAAATAAATAAACTTTTAGTGAAGACAAATGCGAATGTACATGAAAACAAAAAAATAATATAATGAAACAGCTTCAAGATTTAACTAGAAACATCATTGCTGAAACAACCCGCAGTGTTCTAAAATGTGCCTTCCTCACAGCAAGGACGCTTTAGTGTCAATGGATGTGTTACCTATGTTATTATCCTTTGTAAAAGGTCAGCAGAGAACAGAACAGATAAGTCTGAGGCAACTAAATCTTTCATGGAAAAGAGCATCTATCGGTTCTTTAAGGACAACTTTGTTTTTGTGTGTGTATGTGTGTGTGTGAGAGAGGCAGAACAGACTCAAAGTCATAATGAAGTCTCATTACAAGGAATTGGTCATGCAAAGAAAGAAAAGCAAGTAAATAACATTTACTGGGTTTCTAACTACTACAATATGCTGTCAGAATGTCGTTGTGATTTCACTGATCACTAATTCATGTCACGGTGGAACATTTTCTCCTACTTCAGCACCACAGACAGTTTTCAGTGATGTAGCTCAGTAGTTTCTTTTAAAACTGTGGTCGCCATGGCTATGACTGTGCAGAAACCAGGTTTGGCAAGAAAGCGCAGCCTCTCCTGTGCACAGTTTCCATGGTGTGCTGCCTGTGTGTGTGTGTGTGTGTGTGTGTGTGTGTGTGTGTGTGTGTGTGAGGGTAGTTAATGACTCAGCCACAGAGTCAAACAGTTAAAAAATGTCAAGCAACATTTTGAATTATTGCAGCTTTTCCGTTGCAGTTCATGTTCATGTCGCCATACTCGGACAATTATATTATTCATTGAATGATGATTGATGGTGGAGCTCCAGTAAATAGCTGCCATCTCAAAAGCTAAATTCTGACTGTGTAGGTAGGTGTAGCTGCGTCATCGCAGTTTAACTCGCATTAAATTCATTTTACCAAATATGAAATTTGGAATTACTATAATTTGCTTTTCAACAAAGCATGGCAATAACTGTGGGAAACGGATTGAAAATGAAATGGGGGTTCTTTTAAGGTCCAGTTCTTCTGATTATGTGCTCAGGAGGTGTCTGGTGTTGATCAAAGGCAGCTGAAGGCCCCACAGCAGGAAAAATATTTTGCAAGAGGTAGAACATAACAAGGTTTGAGTATGATTAGTTAGCAAGACTTCTGCACTGTTTGCTAAGAGATGAAAATTAAAAATGTTACACACAAGAAGTAAAGGCTGAGTGAGCTAACCTTTACCCAGGGCAAAGAGAAGACGTACCTATTGTCTGTCAGTTAGTTAGTGGCAATTTGAGTATTTTTTATATTTATATACAATTTTATATACTACAGGAATATGCAGCATGTAATATCAGTTGACTTTAATAAAGATTTTAAGGTCAGATTTTGACCTGCAGTACCTGTACAATACAGGCCCTAAATATTGGATAAAAATCATAGACAGCATTTAAAAAGGTCAAATGCTAGAGCCACCTTTAAGTACTAATCCTTAGCCTTTGGTCAGGGTTCCCACTCTTTTTAACAAATCATTTTCCAGGACATTGTACAGGACAGCACTTGCTTACAAACGGTAATATAAGCTGCGGTTTCGAATATATTGACTAAATTAATTTGGTCACAGCTCAAATCAAGTAGAATTTATTTTATTTTACATAAAATTCATCTTCTAGATAGTTAAAGCATTGCATATGCAATTAACATCACTGTGCTTGTATTTATCAACCACAGCAACAAGAAATGTAATCCTTATTAGGCTGTATGCATTTAGATATGAGACTTTTGCTCACAGTTCTGGAAAAGAACTCGATGCTGAAAAGATCATTGCAAGTCAGTTCCACTTTGCATCTGGTAAACCTGCTTTGAAGTGTCATACAGATCATCCTACCAGGAATTGGGCTTCAAACTAAATACACACCTAGGTTTATGCAGGTGGTCTGACTGAGGGGCTCAAATACAAATATTCCAGGACAACATGGATTGTTTCCAGGAAATTTGGTCATTTTAATCAATTTCCAGGTGTTTCCATGACTGGAAAACTAGTCTCTAAATTTTTCAGGATGCGCGGGAACCCTGTTGGTGATAAACAGTTTGCTTAAATATTACAAACAGTCTTCAAGCAGCTACTATGACAGAAATACATCAGAAGAGCAGCTGGCGTATCTTTTTACAGTGCTGTAGTGCAGTTGTTTTGTAGATGCATTTTGATGTGCTGTCAGTGCTAACCTCTGTGGCAAAAACATTGAGATTCCTGTCACTGCTTCACAATAAAAGCCAGTGTTTCACGAGCAATAGGAAATGTTGGGTTTGCATTAGCAGTTATTTAACAGAGTTTGTATAGCTGTAGGACAGTGAACAGTAAACAGTGAAGCTGATATCAATAAAATAAAATTACAAAGATGAATTCTGGATTACATGCTCAATCGTTTCCTATCAATCCCTTGTGTGTCGGTAGGCAATCTGAAACAGGGGCTTCAGGGGCCCTTTGTACACTGGGGCACAGAGGGGTACTGCTTTTCCTGTTCTAGGGAATTTTGGAAGCAAATGCAATTTACTGACAACAGAGTAAAGTATTGTTTCATTTCATTTAGTTGTCTGCAAACTTCCCTATGAAGTGACTTGGAGAGACACTTAGAGGCACTTACTGAGCAAATGAAACAGAAAAAAAGACTTTGCTCCTGCTACTAAGAGCAAATATCTGTGAATAATTAGCTCTTTAAATTCATCACTTCACTTCACCATTTTGACTGAGTGAATGAGTTGAGTGAAAGCTGTTCGAATTAGGTTTGTTTTGCCCCCCAGAGGTCTGCTTGATTGGCAGGCATCCCAACTGGATGCCTGCATATCAAGCTGTGAGCAGGGTAATTGTAGGACACAACAAACACAAGCAAGATTCAAAGACCTTTAGTAATCTGCTGATGTGTTGGACAAAAAACCTGATTTGGTAAGAGATATTCAAAACTATGGGAACCAGGTAAATACAGGTGAACTACTAGACCGTGCAGGAGCCTCTTTCCTCTGTGTGTGTAAGATGATATTTTTGCATACTGTACTTCCTGCAGACGCTCTGCATGCAAAAATCCAATCAGTTTTGTGTGAAACCAACTCAGATTGCCAGGAAATAGAATCACCCTTCCATGCCGTCATTACTCATCTGCTCTTCTCCTGATTCCTGTCTTTGTTATTTCAGATGTGTCTGTCATTTGAGCCAGCCTGCAATAACCCGCTCTCTGTCCCAGAAGGTAACATTTTCCATCAGTGCCAACAATCAGCATCAAATATGACAACACTTCCACACAAAGCAGAAACAAAGACGCAAAGTAGAAAACTAAATGTGGGCATATGCTCAGCAAATATGAAAGCTTTTTATACTTATGCACACAGAGAAATACTGGAGGCAGATGGGACAGACTGAGTAGGAAGAAAGAGTTGCATTGGACATAATCTTAATCCAAAATTTTCATTTTCAGGAATCTGTGGTTTTGGGCGATTCTGATAAAAAGAAAATCTCTGAGGCTCCATTTGCACTTGGATAAGAGCTAGATTTATGTACCGCACAATAATCATATGGGGGAGGTCGGGGGGGATGATGTGTGTTCAAAGCAGATAGCTTTAGTCAGGTTTTCATCCAAATGGAATGCAAATTTTAACCAAATTTCCTGCATCTAGATCATCTAAACAGTCCAGTCAGGTGCAATTATACCATTGCAATATGAGACCCTGATGATGTCAACAGGTTTTTTTTTCAAAAATTTTAGAGATCTCCGTCCAGAAAAAAGTTAATGTCGTGTATGACACTGGCGGAGAAGATTGTGGTTTCAGTTAAATGTTAATAAAGCAAACACACTCTGCCTTGTGCTAAAAGTCACTGTCAACTTTTCCAATATTAAACCAAGAACACAATCTTCCCTTAACTGAGTGCCGTGAGTTGCCTAAACATAACCATTCAAACGTTTATGCATGCTTTCGTTGCTGAAACTGAAAACTGTCATTTGACATTTTGCTGATATTTTGTCTAGCTCGTCTACGTGCAGTCCTATATTGATTTCCTGATACATTTTTCAATGACCACAAGGGGGAGACCGTATCTTTCCAATCATTAAATCCTAAGCCTGTCACCATGGCTGAAGGCTAGATTTGCCTATTGTGTCCCTCACAAAAAGAAGTTAAACTGGTCCAAAGAATGAGAGATCAGATGTTTGTTTCTTAACTAAATGCTTGCTGATGAGATCCTAGTATGTTTTTGTGCCATTTGAGTTTTAAGCGTATTTGATGATTCTTGGGATAATATCTTGAATCACAATATTTTGTCCCGAATTATCGTGACATGAAATTTTCATGGCATCACATGCCTAACATTCAGTATTACCATTTTACCACTTCCCAGATATGATAATTCATAACATTTCCTCATTATGTTAATAAGAAAAACGCAGTCTGAGCAGTATTACCTCTCTTACAAAATGTATTTGGTGTTCTGTAGTTTATAGAGGTAATTTCTGTGAGACAGGGTTGCACGCTGCTGCATGACTGAGTATCTCTGCAGGTCGGCGTTATTTAAAGCTGTGTGTCATCGCTCCATTCCAGAGGGAAAGTATATATATGTGTTTCCTTGTTATAATATTTCACTCATCTTATAGGGCTCGTCTGTGTCCTTGCATAAACTGCTGTTGTTTACCATTCTGCATCAGCCCATTTATAAGCTGCCATTTCAATATTGGGTTGTGTTTAGTCCAAGCGCCTACTGGCTCCAGTTCAAAAGTACATCTTAAACCCATCCAGTGTTGGCAGCCTAAATCTACGTGACTCATCCAAACACTTTCATTGTTGTTACTGTACAGGGCAGCTTAGTTATGTCCAAACATAAAACGGCTTACATTTGGATGGGCTGAGTTTTCAGAGCTTTTACAGGAACAAATCACCTTGATGGAAAGTGACCTCATCTCAGCGTGCCGGCTCATATCCAGATTCTCCCCCGCGAACTGACCTCAAAGCAGCCACCTGACACACCAAGCAACAGCAGCACTGCTTTGAAGATAGATAATAAAGTCTTGGATGCACTTTCAGTGGCACCAGGAGCCACTCTTGTTTCTTTTAAGGCGACTGATGCAATTTGAGGGGATGGAACTCGCAGTTTGAAAAACAAAAACAAAAACAATATCACTGGTGAGATCTTGTAAAGCTCTTCTGTGGCTGTGCGGCAGAGGGACAGCGTTTCAGTTTTTAAATCAGAAAGAAGTTGCTGAAATGTGAAACGTTTGCTTTGACTTACATAATGTTTGTCATCGTCCTCATTGTAGGCAAGTTTGACCACACCATAGGAGCCCTGCAATACAACGACAAAGACATTAATCTTCATATGGGGACGTAAATGTTCACAGCAACACAATATTCTGTGATAATTCAATGCTCTACCCGGTGTTGGTCAGCCCCCCACATTAAAACAAAGTGGGTCATCAACAAAACTGGTGAGGGATTCTGTTAAGAACAGACGGCAGCACCATACTGACAGAATTTTTTCGAAGGCAGCATCATTTCCACTCAAAAACAACATTTTTATTCTTTGGCAGCACAGAATGGCTCCTCCCACACACACACACACACACAGCCGCAGGAAGTGTGTTTTCCATCTTAGTCCTTTTTTCCTTGCATGGTTTCTTCTCTGAAGACTGCAAATAAGTAAGAAAACTGCTTGAGAAGCTGATCATACATAAATAAAGTGAGTTATAACGACTCTGTTGTCTTGTACAGACAAGACCAAAGCCAAAGCCTCAGGATTTATTCATCCTTCAAAGAAATTGTTCCTCATGGACAGAAAAAAATCCATTTGTGGGTCTTAGTCAACTCATGTAAGAGTGAGAATTCTTTCAAATGTATGTAAATCTCCACAGTGTTCCATGTTAACGCCTAACTTTCTCTATGTTTTCTAATGGAGATGATTTGATACCACGTTTTCCTTTCTGACCACAAAATTCAATATGTGACCATATAAATATCAGTCAGATATTATTTTTTTCCTCTTTAATGTCTACTACCTTGATATCTAACAATATCTCTGCTTTTAATAAGACCTTCAAAAGTGTTTTTACTAAAGATGCAATCTCTAAAAACACAAATGATGTGCTCCTACTCTTTTCAGTGTGCCAGTTTTCCAATCATCTCTATTGCCGTCACAATGAATTCCCCCATGTGTTAACCACAAAGTGTTCACCAGCCGTCACTTTGTGAAGTCCATCCAGTGTGCTGTCAGATTTAGAAATGAGACATGTTGCAGCTCAGTAAACTTAGAATTTTGCTGTTTATTTCCTCCTCCTCGTGATATCCAATCTGGTGTTTTTGTCACATTGAGACATTTATATTTCGTTAGCCATGCTATCCAGACTGAAATATTGGAGTCCACAAATAATGACTCTGGTGATCCTCTGAGTTTTCATCTTAACCAGATCCACCGTGAGCTTGACATCCCCTTCAGCTGTACTTTGTGTTTAGTGCTAATTAGCAAATGTCGCGATGCTAACATGCTAAAATAAGATAATGGAATTATAGACTGCAAAAACAATCAACATCTTAGCATTGTGAGCATGCTGACATTAGCTCACAGCACTGCTAGCATGGCTAACAAGACTCTCGTGCTTGATAGCAGGATATTTGCTTATTTATATAGTATAGCAGACTTCGAGCTGTCCTACAAAAGGTCAATCTAGCCAACAATGTAGAAAATTGTAGCATGAAATATGAAATAAGATTAGTGGGCTGTTTCGAACTAACAAGAAGTCAAGTGTGTAAAGCTAAAGCTAACTGTACAGAGGATGGACAGGTGGTGTTCAGCTGAGTAGTTCCAAAAACAAACCTTCCCGTCTACATCATATCATAATATTTTACTTGCAAATATATATCTGCAACCCATATAATAAAGACAGCTCGTGACTGTTGGTGTGCACATGCTGTGAATGATTTTGGTGTTCATTTTCTCACTTTACAGATAGATCGAGCAAAGGGTCGATCTTCCCTGAGCTGCTGCTATTTTCCCAAAAATCACTCGCTGTTAAAGAGAGGAAAGCAGCAGAAAGCCGACAAACTCACCTTCCCAATCTCGCTCTTCAGCTTATACTGGTTTAACTGGATACAGTCCTGTGAGGGGGGAGAGAAAAGGTAGAGACATGAGGAACTACATCACCAACATAAATGACCACCAGAGAGAATGCTTCTCATCATTTTCAAGCAAAGAGAATCAGGGCTGTCTTTGGTACCGGAACAAACTGTTCCCGCTCTGTGTGTATATGTGTTGAAAGTCATTTATTTCTGAGATGTAGGTAACGATGCAGTCTGTAGTTTCTGTTTACTGTCTGCAAATCCATTAGAGTGCTACTGTTTAAATGGCTGATTTGCAGTTCCATAGCAACCACTGCTACAGCACAGAGTCAGCCAGGGGCACTGCAGAGGAGAGCAGACCACAGCAGGACAGAGAGATGGGGGGAGAGGAGGGGAGGGGAGAGTTTGATGGTGGGGAGTATTTCACGGGGGTGGGCTGTGGGGGGTGCACAGAGAGCAAAGTCGGTGAGCAGAAAGTGAGCCATGATGTAAGTGTGAAAAAGAAGGAGATGGAGAAAATGGATTGAAAGCAGTTCTCTCATTACAGTAGGGGGGGCGATGGCTTAGCGTGTGTGTGTGTGTGTGTGTGTGTGTGTGTGTGTGTGTGTGTGTGTGTGTGTGTGTGTGTGTGAGCCAGACCAGTGCCTGAGGCTTGATACTGGAACGTGTTTACAGGATGAGAGGAGGTAGGAGAACACAGATGGAACACAACAGAAAGTACTGCACCAACTCATGTTGGAGGGCAGGACTTCTTGCCACCAGGCAAGGTATTTTAGTAAAATACGACATTGTATAGTGGGTTACATAATATGCTGGTTATGTAGCTCGTACTGAACATTGCTGTTAGTGCTGCAAAAGATGTGAGGATTGTGCATTGGAGGGTTATGAACTGTAGGGTATGATGGTGTGAAGTACTGTGGGCAGGGATTATGACAAAGGGTGAGAGATAGAATAGAAGATGGGGGGCTTTTGTAGGTGAAGCAAGCAGTGGGACTTGGAAAAAAGGATTGCTTTGATTGGTGGAAGAGAGATAAAGAGAAGAAAATAGGGCGGTGGAGGATAAAGGGAAAGGCAAATGAGGAGAATCCAAAGAAACGAGCAGCGGGAGGGATTGTCTGAGAGGACTTCCACTGGGTTTGCACAGTTTGTCGGCACATGCTCAGTGGGCGCTGCACTGCAGTTAATACTCTGTCAGGACTAATGGATAAAGGAGGGCCCTGCAGAAAGCCTTAAATACATCTGCCATACATGCACATGCACGCATGAAGCGAACTCAAATGCTCCACTGGGCCACAGTAAATCTCTAGAGGGCTCTTTCGGTCATACTGTCACGTTAGACTGCGACTTTACATTAACAGCACAGTCCTGCCATCTTCTTTCAGTATGTAACAGACCCATCTCTCCTCACCCAGCTTCCCTTCACATCTCATTTTGTCCTCTATTGTGTCTGATCTGTACCAAACCCTCCACGTCTCTCCATCCATTACTCAACAACTGATCAATATCAGTGCATAACAAATAGATCACTGCCACTGTTCCATTTAAAATCAATGACCACTCATTTCATTCTTTTGATGACTAATGCCTGCCTCAGGAAGTATGTAATAAAAAGGGGAACTTGTGTTAGAAAGTATTTAAAGCCTGCGAGTGTAAAGTAATTTCCTCAAACTGTCATTTCAAAAATGAATTTTAATAGAAGGGTGTAAGGGCTGTCACAAAATGAGGCCACTGCAGAAGATGTTTATTTTGTTGTTGTATGGAAAAATTGAAGAAAGGTGCAGAATGGACTTATGGTACAAGGGAGGAGGATCAACTAAAACAGGAAAGAGGATCTTTTTGATATTAAATGAACACACACAGATTCAGTTCTGTATGTGTGTCCAGTATCAACAGCACTGGATAATTATCTAGATAAGCACATCATTTAACATTCATTTTTGCTCAACGGGCTGCCAAAGTTAATAATTATTAAATTTCTTATGCTGCTAATTTTAATTCAATTCCATTTTATTTGTATAGCGCCAATTCATAACAAAAGTTATCTCAGGACACTTTTCAAATGGGGCAGGTCTAGACCGTACACTTGATAAAATTATTTACCAAACAGTTCCCACCATGAGCAAGCACTTGGTGATGGCGGCAAGGAAAAACTTTTAATAAACAGTTAGCCAAACATAATAGATACAATGTATAAGACTGTATGAACTTTTCACAAGACATTTCCAAAAGAAACTCATAAATGCAAAACACTCACAGTTTACACAGTTAACACATTGGTTTATCCGTCTCTTTCATCTGAATCTATTTTAGTGTCAGAGCAAAGATGTTAGACGTTGCAAGTGTGGCCATAAATCAAATCAAAAGCCACTACCGGTGAGGGGTGGATGATAGGGGAAAAATATGGAGCGGGACAAAGTTGAATGAATATGACATATGTAGGCAAAAAAACAAGAGTTTGCTGATGTTTTTGTGCTGACCTTTATCACACTAAAATTCAACTTGGATCCTTTTTTATTAGCTTGGTTCTCCTAATGATTTAATGATTGCTAAAAATTGGGGTGTGAACCTTTTCAGGCATGCCAGAAAAAGAACCAATGATGTAAAGTGATGGGGGACTATATCCGCAGTCTTATTTCTGTGCAAATATGTACTTTAAAGTTTAGCCAAAGCCAATATGAGGAATCAGCAGTCTGAGTTCAACAAATTAAGTAGATATCTCCCAAACTTTCAGTCTTTACCAAAAGTACCAAAAGTTTGTGCTTCCAAAGACGGTGTTTCCTTGCTGAGTGGGTGGGGGAGTATGAAATTTGGTAATAAAAAGACTGCTGAAGCCTTATTTTAGATTTGGAACTAATTTTCTCACTCACAGGACTGTGGATTTTGTCCTGTTATTTCAATTGAAACGGAAAGGTTTGAGGCTGGTATAGAGAGGATGAACAATTACAGCAACTAACAATTCTTTCAGTATTTGTTTTAAGAAATACTTGAAGAATGTGTACCCATCCTTTAAAAAAGGATAATAGAATATTTTCCTTGTTCAAATTTTTTTTGTTCCTCATTGTCTTTTATTATCCCATAATGTGGGTGCACACCCCTGTGATTAATGGCTATATAAATAAACTTGACTTGATATCCTGTTTTGACACAAATCATTATGCTCCCAAGTAGGAAGGCAAATGTTTCTGGGAAGGTTTCTACCTAATCCTTTTAACCCACAAAACAGAAAAGTGAATGTGTTCTAAAAATCCTCCTACTTCCCAAAGGAAGAGAAAATTATACACATTATGTGTACAAAATAGAGTCAAAGGCAAAAACAGATGTGATGAGAAAGTCAGAAAAGAGGACCAAAGAAGAGTTTCCTGCAACACACAAAGAAAACAAAAAGAATAAGAAGCTTCTGTTCTTTAGTTAGACCATTATATAAGCTATACACACACTCATGTGACTTTGTATGGGACTTCCCAATTTTTTATTTTTTTCTATAATAAGGGTAGGGAGATAACAGACACTGAAACCAACTATGAAAACATGCATTATGCAAGTCATTCTTATACATTTCCCCATTGCAGTAAGCACTGTATCAGTGAAGAAACTCAGAATGTCAGTCATAACGGATGTTTGTGTAAGCAAGAAATGTTTCTCTCTCTTTCTCTCTGCTGTGTCATTCTGTAGCTCCAGTGAGAGCAGGGAAATAGCAACATGAGTCCTTTTTATGGTTCAGTGCGAGAGCTGCAACTCCATTTTCAGATAGGAAAGGACACAATGACAGGACTGCGAGTCTGTGGCAGCAGTCTGTTACATTCAGAGGGGTTCCACATCCTGGCAGATGTCATGAATGTTTAATGTTGACTCTGAATTGGAAAAACTCAGAGTAAAATGGAGATTTGGGAGTCACCATAGCCACATGATACGTTTAGTTTTCATGGGTTAGGACAAACAGGTGCTCCATATTTTCAGCTGCATCTTTTCAATGTAATAGAAATAATGAAACTCATCGTTATTGATAAGCAATCGACAACTGTCTCCACATGTACAGTTTTTAAGTAATGGTTCAACATTTTGACGAATATGCTTATTCACTCTTGAGAGTTAGTAGATCAATACCTATCCAGTGTCTATATGCTAAATGTAAAGCTACCACCGGCAACCAGTTAGCTTAGCTTAGCACAAAATACAGCCTGGCATGGTCCAAAAGTGACACAATCCCAGCATCTACCAGCATCTCTAAAGCTTGCTGATTAACACCTAATCAGGTGGGTGCAAATACCCAAAATGTAAAGATGATACTTTATTACTACTGCTTTGCTTTACAGGAGGATGCAGGACTATGTGTGGGACTATTTCTTAGTAACTGATTGTAGCTGTTAAAATGTATGCTGCTCTGTTCTTAAAAACAATAAAATGTGTTTACAAAAAGAAAAAGAAAAAAAAAAAGTATGCTGACTACCAAAATGTATCACATTAATTGTGTCTGGTGTGTCCATCACTCCCTGAAACCCTTGAAAGCAAGGTGAGGCAGCAGGGGGATGCCTTTACCGAGCATGAGGATGTGAGGTGGCTGTGAACAGCCTACATCTAAACCTCAGAGTTTAAAATACAATAGCGAAAGTATTGGTAGTAGTGGTATCAAATTTCTCATTGGTTATACAAACAGACAAGTAGAAATGCTCCACATGATAAGCATGGCAAATTATTAGCTGCTTCCACCCCCACTGCTACCTTCTTTCATGGTGTATCCAACAGTACTGGCCATAATGCATTTCATGTCTGTCTGATGAAACAGTCAAAAGTGCTCTTATCAAAGCCAACATCAGAACACAATATGATGACACACATCAGCTCACAGTGCAGAGCAAGGAGTATAATACAGTCTGCGATGATGCATTAAGGGTGGGGTACGCGACTCTGGAGAAATCCAATACCATGACAAATACTACAATATAGAGTGAAAGACGACACTGCAAGTAACTTACAATAAGCTAGCGAGCCGTGAGGAGATATACACTGAATTACATGTATTGTATTAGAATCATATAGCCCACCTTTAACATAAATCAGCTAATAGACAGAGGAATGTTTCCACGATGGGTGCTGATGGGAGACTAGTGCACCCACCTTCTCACGCTTCCTTCTCCCTGCCATGTTGTCCACTGGCCTTCTGCTCCTCTTTCTTTATAATGTGAGATGTGATAATGCAGACATATTGAGCTATACTGTGCTAGTTTCTAGTTATGACAACTGCTCTCATGATCCCAATGGAGCTGCTTTCTCTCTGTTTGTGTTTCACTCCCTGCTATGGTACCACCTGTCACACCCAACTGCAGAAATTCATATCACCAAATGTCCAAACAAGAGGACTGCGGATAAATTACATTTTCGAAGGTGTTTTGGGTGAAACATTCAAGGTTTTTCTACACTCTACTTCCCTGACATGTCTCAATTTTAAACTATGTGGCCATATGTCGGCTTTGATATCTTTTATTTATCTCAGTGTAATGAGACTGCTGCTGCTGTCAATGCAAAACATTCCCTCTGCCGTTTTTCCTTTTCATTAATTCAATGATTATTCATTAATTCAATGATTATTCATTAATTCAATGATTATTCATTAATTCAATGATTATTAATTATAAGTAGTATAAGCACCAGTTACTTCCTCACCTGAGCGTCTGATATGGATACACGTTTAGACTCCACAGTGGGCCTGCGAGCCACACGAGGAGAGATGTGCGTGTAGCCTCCTCCAGAGCCTGATGACAGGTAGGTTCCTCTCTCCTGCAGCGACAACTTCCTCCCAGTCAGATGAGGCCTCGGCGGATGAGTCCTCTTGGCCTGAGCCCCGTCCCTCTGAGCCCCGCCATTCTTCACGCCGTTGGCAGTTGAGCTGTCTAAATCTTTAGTTGTCATGGCAGCCATGGTGTCTGTGAGACTGCTGGTCTGTTTGTCAGAGTCGGGGTCCAGCCTCTCACAGCCCGGGTCATTGCTCATAGCCATGGCAGGTGGGAAGGTGGGAGCGGCTCAGGAGCAGGTGGCGGGGAGAGTACTGGGGCGTGCCCACCAGCATCAACGTGAACTGGGCCAGCCTGTGGTTGCGACGCTCAGGGTCTCAGCAGAGCTAGAGAGACAGAAAGAGAGGGAATGAATGTACAAAATTTGGTGGTAATCCATTCAATAGTGGACCTAAGTGTTGCAATGGCCGACATTGCTAGCCCTCGAGCTGAACTGCTAGTAGGGCAAACAATTTCTGGTCTTTCCAGAACATAGTTCAAAATATATAATTTTGTGGATTAGTGTTCTTTTGTTTGGGATAACACAAAATGAAATAGTACAATATATATTATGACACTTCAATGTTGCCTTTTTATGGCATTTAAGGCTGTGTTACAGTTTTCTGAGCTTATTTAATTGTTTTAGCTCAATAACATTTCCCTCATATTCTTCATCATCATATCCACATTAAAAGCAGTTTGTTTTTTTCAGAATCATTTTGTGTGTAAAAGCTGCTCATCACCAACTAAATACTATCACTTTATAATAACAAATGGTAAAGGATATCGAAAAAGTAGATTTCGTCCATATTACCAAACCAAATAAATGCAAAAATGTTTTTATTACATGTGAATTAAAACCTTTGGCTGAGCTTTGACTGGCCACATCCTCCAGCAAGAGCACCCATGAGAATGAAGTTTCATCAAACAGTCAGATAAAAAGGAAAATGTCATCTCACTGTGTGGGTGGTTTGGTGGGTCAAGTTACCTACAGTAGACATGCGCTCGTAAATTGAATTAAATGTCCCCCTGATAAAAACCAACACAAATACTGCAAAGCTAATTATGCTCGATGCCTTTGGTCATGGCTCCCTGTATCCCCATCAAATGCTCGTGGGTGGACTGACACACAAAGAAATGCACGCATAAAAAAGACTAAAGGTATTGTGTGTACAGTATGTGTGTATATACCCAGACATTTAGTGGGATTTGTTTATTGTGCTTTTCCCCTTTCATCTTTAATGAGAATCAAGCAACTGGCATATTGCCACAGACAGGGAATATCAAAGCTCTCTTGTACATCTGGTTCAGGTTTTGTTCTGCAGATGGAAGAACACGGATAAACAAAGTGAGCCTGTGCCCAGCCATCCAAGTAAAGGGGCACTTAAATCCCTAATCCTCAAACTGTATCCATCTATGTAACAGCAGGAATCAAGAGGAATAAGTGAGGTGGTTTCTTCCCATAGGAGCAACTCTGGTCTGCATATGTGACATGAAAAGACACAGACAATGGAGCCAAATACAAAGTAATTGCTGGGCGTATTAGACAAGAGGTGGTCAGTAAATGGGCCATGCTATTCCTGAAGTGTGTCAAGAAGGTAGAACTTCATATTCAAAAATAACATGGTGTTCCACTTTGTCCAGGTGGGTCACACTCATTCATGCATTTGCACAGCCATGGCTCAAAACCAACTGCAGTCTATCACATTTTTGCCATGTAGTCAAGGAAATATCAATCTGCTGATCCGTCAGTCCACCACTTTGGTCTAATTATTGGATGGATTGCCAAGTTTTTTACAGACATTTGTCACGTAGAGGATGAATTCTAATGATATCGGTGATCCATTGACCTGTCTCAACAACTGCTGAATGGATTGCCATGACATTTTTTTTATAGACATTCATGTTCCCCTCAGGGAAATGATCCCTTGTTGACCCCTTAACTTTCACCTAGTGCAATCATGATGACAAAACTTGTGTTTAGTGCCAATTAGCAAATGTTAGCAGGCTAACACACTGAACAAAGATGGTGAACATGCAAAACGTAATACCTCAATCAATTAACATGCTAAATGCTAAAAATTGCGCTCTACTAATCTGCAACAGCAAAAATGTTTTGAGAGCAACGTAATACTGTTATGTTTTTCAATCAACATAAAGAGGAAATGTTTTTAATTAATGTGTTTGCTGAGATGCAAAATGTTCCTAGTGAACATATCTGCAAAACGCTCACTGACAACACATTTCATTTCATTTCCAGATAATTGCTGTACAATACACACTCATAACTAAAGAATGATTTAATAAGGATAATAGGAACCACAACCACCTCCCTATGGCTCCAAAAGAATGTAGCCAAAACGTAATTGACAAAGCAAATTAGTAAGAACATTACTACACATATATATTATACACGTATAATATTAGTTGATAGACAGGTGTAGCACTGTCTCTTGAAAAGCTGAAGCTTATGGGAATGTCATTAGTTCTGCAGGTATCTGGTTATAAACCATAGTTAAAGAAACATTAAAACCTCATGATGGAACTAAAAGAACATTTAAGGGATTACCAAAAAGTTATTACAATTCATCCTAAGGGGAACATGATTAGTTAAGTGGTAATAGCAGAAATATTTTGGATAATGGGTTTATATTGGGCTGCTACATATAATGCAATACAAAAGCCAATCAGATATAAACAATGACATGAGGAACAGAGGTAATTTGCAGCCATTAAAAGGAGCATGTCACCTGTAATATAACTACAATAACCTTACATGCTGGTGCTCTGATGGCAAAACGGTAGTCATAACTGTTTGATTACAAAAAATACCCATGAATTCACTATTCATAAAAGTATAAAGGCTTGTCATGTCACTGGTTACCCGGGACACACACACACACACACACACACCATAATCATTTGCCTTCCATTTGTATATTTTAGATGAATGTTATTCAATCTATGTAAATTGTGAGTGCAGGAAAAAAACCTTTTAACTGTCAGGAGCGAATGGGGAACGTATTGTTTGATTCCTGAATCATTTGAGCAAAAACAAATAGGAACTGTCATATTTTGATAATTCTTATCACAACTAGTGATTATCTGTCTCCTGAAACGGGTTGCTCTCCACTGCACCATTCATCCTGCTGCATGTGTGAGCAATATCCTGGCAGAAGTGGGAGGCGGAGGAGCAGCAATGGTATGGTTATTCAGCTGCACTGACTTTTATTTGTTTACAGAAGCAGGTATCCACACATTTTCATTATGGAGGACGATTTTTCATTAGGTTCAATATTGTCTTTCATATCCATCTTATTATTTTCCACTGCAGCCATCCGTCTTGTCGTACGAAGGTTTGAGATAGAATTAGGCACTTTTTGCCCTCTCTATGTTAGCTGTGACATATTGTGACTGACACTGTTAGAGTAAGCTAAGGTGTGTACAAGGTATAACTGTAAACGTCTTCCTATAATAGCTGCCAAAAAATATTTGAAGTCATTGAACATTTTGTTACATTTCCTTAAAGATACAGTCTTTCTTCTTAACTGTATATATTTTTGGAGCTGAGGAAGAGGAGTAATGGTGATTGCATCTCAACCTCGATTTCCACCGCCAGGAAAATCGGCCACCTCAACAATTGAAATTGAACTGCTAAATCAGTGGAACATTCTTTTAAAGCCATGGTCAGTGAAGTCATGCCTTGCTCTGTAAGGACTGGTGACAATCTGTAAGGAGAATGCCACTGTGTATCTCCACTGCTATCCCCTCGTTTTCTTTGCTTTTCTTCTCTCTCTTTATTTTTCTCATTTGTTTTTTCTTCACCATTTACTATTTACAGTGAGTGGTTTCAAGATGATTGATATTTGTGTTCATGTCTTTATTACATGTTTTTCTTTACAGTTAGTTGTGAAATACCGTCCATTCATACCAATTTTCTTTATGACTTTATAGACTATAGACTTTGTCCTTGTTTTTAATCATGAAGCCACTGTAATAAAGAATTCTGTACATTGACAAAGCAGTGTGTCATGACTTTTTCTGGAATTCATTCTCCCTTCTAGTGGACACTGGTTAACCCACCAGTGCATCAGAAGCACCTGTGCTGCATTATATTGCTGTCAGATCCAAGAAAACCTTGCTGTATTATTTGAAACGATGAAAGAAATTAAGCAAAATATGCTGACAGTAGGTGTTGAATTGGCAATCCGTCAAAATGCCTAATGCCACAATATTACTTCAATAAAACCCCCTATTTCAGTCCCGCCAGGATTTCACTGGCTTTTTTTGGGATTGTTGCAGCAAATAATTAAAAATTAAAGGCAACTTCTTCCAGTGAGAATAAAACTGTACTGCTGATGTTTTGAGTAACCTTACCAAAGGCAAGCCTCTATCACTTTATGATTTATACATTACCACAAAACCAGGCATATTTAATGTAACTCACCTTAATTCTTTCATCACTTGCAATAGATTTGCAGCCTGTTGCACCCTCTGGGTTTAAGCTCAACCATAGCCTGGTTATAATGTAAATTATTACTAAGTTGTGATGTATTACTAAAATAAAAGTGGTTGAACCACAGCGACAAGTTAAGACAACTTAATATCTACACATGCCCCTAAGGTAGTATAAATCATACAATTTCACAGATTTATACTCACTGATGGTGTTTCTCTGCCACACTACATGTTTTCATTAATGCAGCCATTTTGTAACACATTAATTGAATAGACGTAATTTACTGATATGATATTTCGTTATCGATCTAGCTTACTACGATGTGCTACGAAGACAAGTGGCTCATGCCAGTCAGAAAGCTAAGGCGTAAGGTAAACAAGGTGATGGAACAATATCTTAGATTGTTGCTACAACCAACCAAACTAAGCTGGTAGCTGGTGCAACCACGTCCTGGATGCAACTGCCTCAGGCATTGTGATTTGTTTTTTCTGTTCACCACACATTTCAGCCACTCTCCGGGTGTGTTTTGTAGATCGATCAGTCAATCGATGACTTCATGTTGCACACAGTGCAAAACAGTTTGCCCCAGCTTTCTTGCAGAACATCAGGGAATTGCCTTGAACGGCCTCTGGCAGTAATTAATGTTGGTAAATGTGAGACACTCATTGCACATATCTGCATCTTCACAACCAAAACAAGGACGTGAGTAGTGACATATGGCTCAGTGTTTTGCAAGGGGGAGTGCTGTGATTGGTGAAACTTGCAAAATTGCAGAAAAGTTGATTGTACAAAATTGCATGGTCGCGCAGAATTCATGGGGATTATTTGAACTTGCATTAATTGTTGTGATCACAACCTCCTGGAGGGAGCGCTATTTCAGGTTTTGAA